TCAACCGTTTTAGTAACTTTAAAATGCTTTTTATTACCAAGTCGAATGTCCTTGTTTTGTTTCTTTAAATAATTCTGAACATGATATTTAAAAATGTGGAACAAAAAGTTCCACTTTAAAAAAATATTAAACTGCATCATCCAAAATGCAATATAAATTAAACTGTGAGCAGATATGGCCAATATTACATTTTATATTTAATAATTCATTAGGCCTATACTATTACACAAATTGATTTAAAAAAAATTATTTAGTGTGTTTTACTCAGGGTCTATACAACGTTGTTGGTGTTGTTTTTTAATTGATACAATTATTACACAATTTGTTGTTATTGTAGCACTTTTGCTTTGCAATTTTAATAAGTTTATTTTTCATGCTGCTAAGAGAATCATCTGCCAATTACACAATGCAGTCTAAAGGCTGTTGAATACCGGACAAGATACGATGTCCCAGCATGTCTTTAAAATGCTACACATTTTCTATGGGTAGGCTTCGCACACTGTCCACGATACCCAGCAACTAGTCCAGTGATTGGTTGCTCAGCAACGATAGACGCCACAAGCACATGAGCGAAAGCTGCAGTTCTCCACCGGTGTGCACAAGTATCAACTGCATTGAAATGACTCAAACATAAAACTTAATATTTGCACCCGCCTGTTGAGTCCCCCTGTAGCATATTAAAGTAATAGTTCAACAAACAATGAAAATTACTCATACTCAGGTGGTTTCAATACTTTTTGAGTTTTTTCTGTTACAAAATACAATATTTTAAAGAAAGCTGAAAACCCGTTAACCCTCAACTACCATAATAAAAATAAATATGGATTTCAGTGGTTACAGGTTTCCAGCTTTCTTTAGAATATCTTCTTTTGTGTTGAACAGAAGAAAGAAAGCCAAACAGATTTGGAAAAACTAAATGGTGAATGATGACAAAATGGTCAATTTCGGGTGAACTATCACTTCAAAAAGGCATTCAACACAGACAGCGGCAGCAAATGTCTGCCAAACTGTGCATTGTTGCCCAGATGATGAACAATGGAATACTCATTAAACACAAAACTGCTGTTTGGCAGGGGTCCCTTTATGACACACTAATTATTTCAATCATAAAGCAACTAGTTTTAGCTCCAGGAATTTAAGGCTGACCTTCGAGGTCATGATTGCAGTCAGAAGCCCTTTTCATTTGGATTCCTGATTAGCAGGGCCAGACGGTATCTGCGGACGTTTTTTGCTATTTCTGCAGAGAATTTTGGTAAAAATCTGCTGATTTCTGCTAAATTATTTTGGGAGTATCATAACTAAAACATTAATATGTGAAATAAAAAATATATCGTTTTAACTTTTATTTAGTGTTTAAAATGCAAATCCAATTAGATTTACTTTATTTGGTAAACAAAGCAAGTCTCTCATATAATATATCTATTAAAAGACATAAAATATTACTTTACACACTGCATTGTGCATAAATCAGATGAACATTTTAACATTAGTCAATAATATTACTGTAATTAATTTAAAAACTGAATAAATATGGATTTACACACATTTACTCAAGTAAATAAACATAATTAATGATGAATTAAAAATCTGCAGGAATCTGCGGAATTCTGCGCATTCCATGTGGGCCTACTGATTAGTTACTAGTTGAATGGGGTATCATCTAGCTCAGGGGTTCCCAAACTTTTCAGGCCGCGACCCCCAAAATGTCAATGCCAGTGACTCGCGACCCCCAATATCCTCTGAGGTGGTTATAAATACAGAAACCTTGCATGCAATGGAGCACACACACCAATGGACCCAAGTCTATTCTTCTTTTAATATTTTTAATGTATGAGAGCTGTAAATGGGCCACAAAGTTTAACCAGGTGTTATGAAATCTGCTGCATCTGACGCTATTGCTGTGTCTTTAATACAATGTAATTACCCCAGGGGTTGCAATCCAATAGAAGTAGTAACTATAAGCTACTATAGTAACTATATATGGTATATACGACTACTTTTTTCTCTTCAGAAGGTTTTGGATAAAATATGGTAATTCTTATGGTTTAATAAAAATAAACAGATTTTTGGAAACCACCAGGCGACCCCCCTTCATTGTCCCGCGACCCCTCTGGGGGTCCCGACCCCCACTTTGAGAACCATTGATCTAGCTCATGTTCAAATGTTATCATAAAAGTTGGCTGCAGAAATAATAAAAAAGTCGTTTTTGCCACTCTAAAAGCAACATCAAAGAGAAACAAATTACACATTTAAGGTGTGCTTGGCAGGAGTGATGTATTTTGTTCCTACTTTGGATGGCTGTGCAGCTCCACAAGAGGCATTAGATTAATTAACACTGACTTACAATACAAAGCACTTTGAACTGAGAGAGAGTGCTCGAACCACAGCCAGACTGACGTGAAACTTTGTGCCCACTCCCCTAATCAGTCATTAGAATGGCGAGTTTCCTCTGGAAAGCAGCCAAGTTCAAAAGAGTCAAAATCATAGGCAAGTTAGCTAAAAATGATTGTAATGACTGCGTACACTTATTGCGACAAATCACAAACGATTTGCGATTTCCCATAACACACACAAAACTGAAATTGAAACACATTTAGAAGGAAATTTAAAAATGTCATTAATTACTCGCCCTTTACGTATTTAAACAGTTATCTTTATGAACACAAACTGATACTATGGAAGTCAATGGGTACAGGTTTACAACATTTTTCAAAATATCTTCTTTTGTCTTCAACAGAAACAAGTCAATAATACAAGTTTTGGGGAAAGCCAAGGGTGATTAAATGATAAGGGAATTTACATTTTTGGGTGAACCATCCCTTTAATACTAATTGTATTGTATTGTATTTTTAATGTTAAATAAAACGTTGAATTTGTAAAGGGTTTCGATGTGGTTATGTTTCGTTTACTCCACATTAGTCTTTATGCAAGTGTCTGATTGACACCAGTAAATAGATAGTTCCCCCAAAACTAAAAATTCATTTACTCCTTCACCTGTAAAAAACCTGTTTGAGTTCCTTATTACTGTTGAGCACAAAAGAAGATATTTTAAAAAATGCTAAAAACCTGTAACCCACACTTCTATTTGTTTTCCGTACTATGGAGGCACATATTTCAAAATATCTTCTTTTGTGTTAAACAGATTAAGAAGACTCGAACATGTTTGTAACTATATAAGGCAGAGTAAACAGCGAGTAAATCTTTATTTTAGAGTAAAACAAACTTCAAATACAGTATTGCCTGTTAATATAGCATTGACATTTTAGATGTGTTTTTACAATAATCATCAAGACTCTGATTTTACCAAAAACAACCCAAAATACAGACTTAACTGGCATGTTATTTCATGCATTATGAAGTATTCCACCTAATAACCCCCCTGAGTCATCCTTTAGCAACTGTGAGTACACCTGCAGTGTATTTCCATTGCATCACTACATTCTCACTTCTGCTGCAAGCATTAACCCTTAGCTATGTGAGGGCACATCCAGAAACCGTACTTAGTGTACTTCCCTGCACTTAGGCACATTGTAATACGTTTGTAAGGTCCCGAGGGCAGCAAAGTGAGGTCAAATAAAGCTAGCTACTCTAAATAGTTTTGAACAGTGTAGGAAGGAACACTCAATAATGATCATGGTTATGGAGAGGAAGTATAGTAAACTCTGAAATAGGTTGATCGGCAGATTAAAGCTTGAGCCTAAAGTATTAAATAAATTCAAATAAAATAAAATTACTATGAAACAACATATTACTTCCATCAGTTTACAAAATGTTTTTATATCTGATTTATGAGTTTGCACATTTTTGATTGATATTATTCTAAAGTATTAAGTTCAAACTGGTCCAAAACTGCAATGATAGCTTGAAACTTTGGCACCACAGATTGAATTTCCAGTTTCAAAGAATTTGAAATTACGAAACATAACTTAAAGGTTAAAAATTGACATCCTAGTATCATTGACAAAAGTTGCTCCAAACTTTAACCAAGCATCTGTTCTTTTCTACTATTGAATACAGAAGAAGGTAATTTGAAGAATGTGGATAATCAAAGAGTTGTTGGTCCCCACTGACTTCTACATTATGAGGGAAAAATATCATGTGAAGTCAGTGAAGACCAGCAACTCTTAGGTTATGATATCTTATTTTTAAGTTCAGTATAAAACAAAAACACATCGTTTTAAAGCAAAACAAGTGTGAATTAATGATGCCATTTTAATGTCAGATTTGTTCAGCTCAATGAAATTCAATTATTTAACTGCCAGTTTTAATTGTTTAAATTGCTGAAAAGTTGAAACACATAGACCTTAAGGAAACAGCTTTAGGGGCATGCAGCGCCATTTGCATTATATAGGATTATTTATGTTATTAGATCCCATTAAACCCCCCCCCCCCAAATTGAATACTTTTCGTTGTTGAACTGGATCAATAACCTAATCTGCCTGACAAGTCAGCAATGAAATACTTTTAAATAAAAGCATTAAATGTGATCCTGGAACAAAAAAAAAAAAAAAACATTCGTAATTTTATAGCCACATCAACGAAAGCTAAATAAATAAGCTATCTACTGATGTACGGGTTATGACAGGACAATATTTCTGAATATTGAAAAAAATCACCATTAAAGTTGTCTTTAAGCACATTACTAATCAAAAAAAGTTTTTTTATGTACATTTACAGTATAAAACGTGCAATTATATACATAAAACATGATCTTTACTTATTATTATAATGACCTTTTACAAAAAAAAATCTGTCAGTTTTACCTATAGAATGTATTTTTGGCAATTTCCAAAAATATACTGTTGAAAAAGTGGTTTGAGGTCAAGAGCCACAAATAATAATTATAAACACTGCTTTATATGTCTTGTTGCAAAACATTTTTTTTAATAATAATAATACTAAGAATAATACTTGATAAATGTTATCTATAAGGAAATGGCACAATGCATGCGCAAATCAAAGCCTCATCATCAGCATCATCCGCGCGAGCGCGCTCTCACCTTTCTTGAACTCCTCCAGCATCGCGTCGAGTTTGGTGTCATTGAAGACGAAATGCAACGGATGGCTGTAGAACTTGGTTATCGTCTTCAGCGGGGTGCAGTCGTCGGGATCCACAAAGGCCAGGTCCTTGACGAACAGCAGGTCCACGATGTTGGACCTGTCGCCCTCGAACACCGGAATGCGCGTGTAGCCGCTCTCCATGATCTCACTCATGCTGTTGAAGTCAAGCGTCGCGTCCCCGGTGATCATGAAGCAGTCGCGTAGCGGGGTCATCACATCTTCCACTGTCTTAGTCCTTAGCTCCAGCGCGCCCTGGATGATGTTCAGCTCCTCTTTCACCAAGTCATTATACGGGTCCGTGACCCTCAACATCTCCAAGAGCTTCTCCCGGTTGTACACCGTGCCGATCTCCTGCCCGAGGAGATAATCGAGCAGCTTACTTACCGGATAGGACGCGGGGAAAGTGAGCAGCATGAAGAATTTGGTCAAGAAGATTGTATTCGCACCCACAGCGAGACCGTGTCGTGAGCATATGGCTTGGGGCACAATCTCCCCAAATATCACGATGCCGATGGTGGACATCACTACAGCTATCAATCCAGAGCCGGCGATGTCATCCAGCAGAATAGTCAAGGTGGTGTTGACCAGAACATTGCCCAGAAGAAGCGAGCAGAGCAGGTAGTTCCCCTGGCTCCTCACGGGCTCGATTTTCCTCGCGTAGTTCTTCTCCTTCTCCGTCCCGCAGTTCTGGACGATCTGCAGCTCCATGGGGTCCAGCGCCATCAGCCCCAAGTTCAAGCCGCTGAACATGCCCGAGAGGCAGAGCAGCATAGAAATGAAGATGACCTGGAGCCAGAAGGGCAGCAGGAACTTTTTCTCCTCCACCACGATCACTTTGGTGTCCTCTCCATCGTGATAGATCCACGTGTTCTCGGTCCACGGGTCGTGCGCTCCGGCCACAGCAGGTGTGGAGGTGGCGATGCACAGGTAGTACGCTTTGCTCCGCTCAGTCTTTCGCAGAGGTTTGACCTCTATCTCCACGGTGCCAGACGTCTTGCGGTTTAAAACGATGTTGGGCAAGATCAGAATATCCGAAGTTCTGATGCCGCAGGGGTGCAAGCCCGACGTGTCCTCCTGACTCTGGTTGTCCCCCGAAGAGCTGTCGATGTTGCCGATCACTCGGCTCCTCTCGTGCTCCGTAAATGCGATTTTGGACCAAGTCTCGTTGTTGATGTTTTGCCCGTACACCCTCAATCTCACCCGAGACCTCTCGCTGACCCGCAAAAAGCCCCTGTCCATGAAGGAAATGTCGTCCGTGTCCTCCAGCCGCAGCCCGATGATGACCGTCTCCTCTCCCCCTCCTTCCTTGCCACTTGTGGGAGTAATTAAACAACTGCTTGCAGTTAAGAAAATCAGAGTAAAGGCTCGGACCCGGCTGAGTGACGCCATTTTTCGAGGGGGTACTGGAACCGACGGTTCTGCCATGTTGATAATGGACAGCCTCTTGAATGAAAGGGCTTTTAAAAATCAGAGCCAATCCGGCTTCATCTCTGCTGCGCGTCGCCTTGACTTGTGCATCAGGTCTCGCTGAGTTCCACTACGCGGCTGAAACTGATCGCACTTTCAGCGAGTGCAGCGCGAACTCGTGCCTCTACTGATGTCCCGGTGACAGGCGAACGGGGCAGCCAATACAGTGGCGCCGCTGGACTGGAGGCGGGAACTTTGCCGCTGTAGCAGCCAATCGGCTCCGTAAACAGTTGCACTTAATGCAAATGAGCGCATATAGAAGTTTCCTCGTGACTGCTTTTGGTGTTTTGACAAGGATCTTCAGTGACAGCATCTTTTAATTGTCTCAAGACCCTCTCGTAAAATTTTACAGTTAAATAACTTCACCTGTTTCCTCGTCGACATGACAGCCAAGAGGGACAACCTGTTGAAGTTTTTAATATGGTAACACATTACAATTTAGTTTCCATTGTCTAAAAGTTTTACATTTGATATCGATACGCCGTAATTTTTTTTACAGTGGGCTTATTAATACATAGCTTACTTTCAGTTTATGTGGACTCGAGTCCATTGAATAATGCTTACAATAAAACAGTATTAAACTAATACCCATTACATGCTTTTAAGGTATTTTTCTTTTATATTAATTAAAGTTAACAAAATAAATCTTATTGTAAAGTTAGAACAAGAATGTACACTGTGTAGATAGTAAATTATTGCATAATCTTTGTTGAGATGTAAATAGCCTAAAGTGTTTTCATTCATTCATTCATTCATTCATTCATTTATTGAAATAAACGGCATCATATGTATTTTACATATTTTAAAGTCAATACAGGCTAATATGATTCTTCTTTTTGCAATACATATTTCCTTTGGAATTTAATTGATCATCTATAAAATCATTTTCACTGTTGCCTCATTTGTAAATGTCATGCACTTGAAAATCATTGATGGATGATGAAAATAAGGAACAGTGAAACAGCACAGATTACAAATGAAACTGTCTCATGTAAATTGTTACATTTGCTAATTTATCATCTCCTTTAAAGTTCATTTGTTCTTTTTTTGTTCTTTCATCCCTTTACATCCATGAAGTTACATTAAAAAATTTTTTCTTTTTAATTACTTGTGGCTTTTTTGCTTAAATCTATAGATAAATAGCTCAGCAAGTACATGTAGTAAAGTAAGAGGGAAAGTGAGATTGCAACATGTCCCAGGTTGGGCCCCTGACCTCTGGGGACTCAGGGACCCATACTGTACTTCCACATCTAGAACATGTGCACAATCCACTGCTTCACAGCTCTGGCAATAATTCATATCTTTGGACTGAACGTTTGGGTCTGGGACAAGGGTAAAACAATAAAATCTACACATAAAAGTCACAAAAACAGATGACAAAAGTACAGAGAGGAAAAAAAAAGAAAAACAATTATAAATAAAAGTGAAATAATACAATAGTAAAACAAAAGTGTTAAATTGTTGATGAAAATATCTCATGTAGACATTTAAATTCAAATATGATTTAAATCTTAAGATATTTGACAAATCTATCATTTATTGTGATTGCACAAAAACCCATAATAGGTAACTATGTACCTTATATAGATAAGCTAAGGATTAGTGTGATCTGAAGAAATGCAAGGGATGCAAAAGCTGATGTAAGGATGTAAAAATTATCACAGAGTCAGATCTCTGTAGAGTGTTTGCTCTTATCAGGGATCAGAGAGTAATCCAGACCAAAATAAAGATAATTGATTATGAACTATTTCACAATCATAGTCTTTATATGGTGAAACTACATATCCAAAAAATGGAAGAATTCTGAACAACTTTTCTCAACTTCCCATGCCTTTTTTTTTTTTTTTTGGTATTTTATTTTATTTCACCTTATTTTAGATTTCATTTTGTTATTATTTTATTGTATATTATTTTTAATTAACTATATATATATATATATATATATATATATATATATATATATATATATATATATATATATATATATATATATATATATATATATACATATATAATTTTTTTTATTTAATTTAATTTTCCTTTATTTTATTTAACTGAATTAAAGTCTTAAACTTAAACAGTCCTGTTGTGAAATTTGGAGCTGGATCTCATTTTATAGAGACAATGTGCATGTCAGCATAAATATTGTTTTTTTAGAAGAACATCACGGAGACCATGAATATCCCACTGATAATACCCAAGCAGTCAGATCAAACATTTTATTACAGTGCAAAAAAAAAAAAAAAGCTGATTACAAATCTGGCAATACAAGTTCAATAAACCATATGAGTTTTAAGTTCATTACATCTGACAATACAATAAAAATTACAATAAAGATAAAACTTTCAAATGATGCTTAAAATTATGCAATAATACAGACCAGTTTGGTGTATTGGACATTTCTATACATTTATTAGCTTGACAACCTTACAAAGTACTGCTATATTACCATTTTTGTTGTGATTTTTATTACATAATACATAAGAAACACTTGCTTCATTTCTCAACTGCCTTCAAAATAGCTGGAAGTCAGTTACAGCATGATTCCTGACCTGCACAGCACCCTCCAGTGGAAGGAGACACACTTGCGCTTCCCAACTGTTGGACCAGTTCAAAGGGATTCACTGACACAGCCTGAAGAAAGGGGAGTGGGAAGAAGTACAGTATGTTCACCATTTACAGCAGCCTGGTTCCATAGTGCTGAAGCATTAAAACCTTTAAAATGGCCCATAATTTTATGTTAAAGTTCAGAGAGCAAAAGGATGGAACATTCTGAATTAAAACCATAGGGATAGATCTCTTTAATCGTGGTATGTAGAGAGGATATATTTATATAAATATAGTTGAAGTCAGAATTATTAGCCCCCTAAATTTATTAACCCCCTGTTTATTTTTTTCACCAATTTCTGTTTAACGGAGAAAATATTTTTTCAACACATTTCTAAACATATTAGTTTTAATAACTCATTTCTAATAACTGATTTATTTTATCTTTGCCATGATGACAGTAAATAATATTTGACAAGATATTTGTCAAGACACTTCTATACAGCTTAAAGTGACATCTAAAGGCTTAACTAGGTTTATTAGGTTAACTAGGCAGGTTAGGGTAATTAGGCAAGTTATTGTATAATGATGGTTTGTTCTGTAGACTATCGGAAAAAAATATATAGCTTAAAGGTGCTAATAATTTTGACCCTAAAATGGTGTTTAAGAAAATTAAAAATGCTTTTATTCTAGCTGAAATAAAACAAATAAGACTTTCTCCAGAAGAAAAATATTTTCAGACATACTTGTCTGATCCTAGTCTTATTTGTTTTATATCTATGTACTTAATGCAAGAAAACTTTCATGGATTTAGTTTTAATAAACCACAATAACACTAATAAAATGAACTGTATATTTGGTACATATGATGTATTATTCTGTTCTGATATACAGTAGATTTTATTAATATACTTTTTGTGTATAGATTAAAACCAGGTGAAGAAAGATGTCAGCTGTGGTCATTAGTCTGCACAGATAATGGACGCCTGGAAATAAATTCTAAATAGTTTTATAAACAAAATAGAATTGCCACTAGCCCTGATAAGTTTGAAAGGGCGGACATTCCTCTGTGGCCAAGGCTTTTGTGGTACAGCTGTGTGACCTTGAATGTCTGCAGCTGATGGGACACAGTGACTAATGAGACATATTTTGAGGATAAACAGTTAGAGTATTTTCCGGAAAGTCAAATATTGGAACAAAATGACATTTTTCAGTCCCACTTTATTTTAAGGAGTTAGTTTGTCCAAAAAAGTCTGTTAATTACTCACTCTAACACTGTTCCAATCCCCAGAGACCTCATTTTATCTTTGCAACACAAATTAAGATATTTTTGATTCAGAAAAGAGACCAAAACATTGTCAAAATATGCCATGTGACTTCAGTGGTTCAACTGTAATCATATAAAGCTCCAAGAAAACATTTGTGCACCAAGCAAATTGTAAATACAATTCTGTTCACTTATACCTTCTGTCCAAGTCAGGTCAAGGTACACGCGTTCAATGTATTGCCAGTAAAGTCAGCAGCACAATATTTAATATATTATATATGGAACATATAATTTCATATACAATTTTTTAGATTTCATTATATATTTATATATATATATATATATATATATATATATATATATATATATATATATATATATATTAAGGGTGTCACGATTTCCATTTTAAATCGAAATCGATCGAAATTTATGCTCGATTTTTGATTATCGAATCAAAAAATAGAATCGTCGATGCTGCCACGCCCCCATGTCACGTCAGCTTGGCTTGCCAAGCGGGAAAAAACACGCTTGTTGAAGTGGTTGTTAAACTGTGCAGACGCAGGGGACCCATCGACAGAGCTTAAACCTTCAGGGCTCGACAATAAGGACTGCCCGATAGCCCGGAGCCAGAGTGCGAGATGCTCGGGCCAGTGTACAGTGCAGCCTTGATGCCTGACAGATCGAGCCAGAGCTGCGTGCTGCGACTGTCTGTCAATTGTGTGCAAATACAATCTTACGGTGCTTTCACACATAGACGTTTGTTTCGGAATCTGTCTCGTTTCCCCCGTTAGCGTGGTTTGTTTGGCATAAATTCAGCAGTTGCGCTCGCATCCACGCCAAATCAATCAGTCCGAGATCGCCTGAATGAGACGGTCTCTGCCCTACTGAGCGGATCGATTGTAGTGAGAAAACAAAACAATGCAACGAACTAACGACTCAGGCTATATCACAGTGTATAATGATCGTGTAATAGCCATATATACGGCTATATGAAGAGAGAATGATGAGCAGGCCGAGATGTCATTCTTACCGGTAAATGCGAAAGTGAAAGCATGCTGAAATATTACCGAGAGCTGTTTATCCAGCCTGATCTCGGTTTATCCGTCAGGAAAATTGACCGAAATTACTATCTGTTAATTTTTCCATATTTTAATCGTATAATATGTTCTATTAGGCCTGTTTTTTTGTTCATTTCCGCACTGACAGCTCGAAAGAAAGATTTACATTGATCTGATGCAGTCTCTGTTCATCTGCTATGTCTCTCTATAATTTAAGCCTATAATGCAGAATTCTAGCCAACGTTTCTTTAATAGATTGATTAATTCAATAGATCGATTTTTACAAAACCTGACAATTGAAATGAGGCTTTGTATATATGAGAAAGTCTGACCTCTGCTTTATATTCGGTGACGATGTCTGTGGGTTGTTAAAATTAAAGTGCACATTGCACATTGCTTATAAAATATTCTATACACAACTGGTCAAAAGTTTGGGGTAAGTATGATTGTTATATATGTTAAACTAAGCTTCTTCTGCTCACCAAGGCTGCAATTATTTCATCATAAATACAAATTATGAAATGTTGCACTATAAAATAACTGTTCAAAAGTAGTTTATCATTTAATTTATTCATTTATTCCAGTGATTTTAAAGATGAAATTTCAGCTTCATTACTCCAGTCACATGATCCTTCAGAAATCACTAATGTTAATTATTATTATATTTATTAATGGTAATAGTAACAAAAGCAATAATGTCTAAAGTAATAATCTTATTTGAAACTACATACAATAACAAAGCAGTTATTTAAAATTTTTATAAATATTTAACAATTTAACATTTTTTACGTTTAATAAATGTAGCCTTGATAAACTGAATAAGTTTTCTTAAAAACATAAAAAAAAATTACTGTAAATATATATATATATATATATATATATATATATATATATATATATATATATATATATACAGTGGAAGTCAGAATTATTAGCCCCCCTTTGTTGTTTTTTTTCTTTTTAAAATATTTCCTAAATGATGTTTAACAGAGCAAGGAAATGTTGATAGTATGTCTGATAATATTTTTTCCTCTGAACAAAGTCTTATTTGTTTTATTTTGGCTAGAATAAAAGCGGTTCTTTATTTTTTATGAACCATTTTAAGGTCAAATTTATTAGCCCCTTAAGCTAATGGTTTTTCAGACTGTCTCCAGAACAAACCATCGTTATACAATAACTTGCCTAATTACCCTAGCCTGCCTGGTTAACCTAATTAACCTAGTTAAGACTGCTTCAATCTTTTACTTTCACACTAGTACTTAGTCATTTAAGCAAACACCTCAGATACTGTTGGCTGGTTCCTGTTGGTTGTGCACCTTTTTTACCGACGCCATTATAACGACACAGATCACTGCCTATTCACAAGAAAAAAGTGATTGACAGGTGGTAATTATGTGTGTAACTTGCCTTTATTCATTTACTGTATGATTTGTTTATGGGTAAAACAAAGACCATACAGGTCAGGTAGTTTAAACGGTAGGCTACAAATAATTAATTTGTTATTAATTAATTAATTATTCATAATCGAAAATCAAATCGAATCAAATCGAATCGTGACACCCCTAATATATATATATATATATATATATACAGTTAAAGTCAGAATTATTAGCCCCCTTTTAATTTATTTTTCTTTTAAATATTTCCCACATGCTGTTTAACAGAGCAAGGAAATTTTCACAGCATGTCAGATAGTATTTTTTCTTCTGGAGAAAGTCTTATTTGTTTTATTTCGGCTAGAATAAAATCAGTTTTTAATTTTTTAAACACCATTTTATGGACAAAACTCTTAGGCCATTTAAGCCATAATTTTTTTTGGATTGATTTAACCTGCCTAGTTAACCTAATTACCCAAGTTAAGCCTTTAAATGTCACTTTAAGCTGTATAAAAGTGTCTTGAAAAATATCTAGTCAAATATTATTTAATGTCATCATGGCAAAGATAAAATAAATCATTTATTAGAAATGAGTTATTAAAACTATTATGTTTAGAAATTTTTTGAAAAAAATCTCTCTGTTAAACAGAAATTGGGGAAAAATAAACAAGGGGGCAAATAATTCTGGGGGGCTAGTAATTCTGACTTCAACTATATATATATATATATATATATATATATATATATATATATATATATATATATATATATATATATATATTATTTTATTTATTTATTTTTTTGATTAGTTTTTTCGTTTTTAAATATTTCCCAAACGCTGTTTAATAAAACAAGGACATTTTTACAGCATGTCTGATAATGTTTTTTTCTTCTGCAGAAATAAAAGTCTTTTATTTATTTATTTATTTATTTATTTTGGCTAGAATAAAAGCAGTTTTAAATTTTTTAAACACCATTTTAAGGATAAAATTATTAGCCCCTTTAAGCAAATTTTTCCCAACTGTCAGCAGAACATTCATTCATTCATTCATTTTCTTGTCGGCTTAGTCCCTTTATTAATCCAGAGGTCGCCACAGTGGAATGAACCGCCAACTTATCCACTTATAAGTTTTTACGCAGCGGAGGCCCTTCCAGCCGCAACCCATCTCCGGGAAACATCCACACACACACTCATACACTATGGACAATTTAGCCTACCCAATTCACCTGTACCGCATGTCTTTGTACTGTGGGGGAAACCGGAGCACCCAGAGGAAACCCATACAAAGGCAGAGAGAACATGCAAACTCATGCACACAGAAACGCCAACTGAGCCGAGGTTCAAACCACCGACCCAGCGACCTTCTTGCTGTGAGGCGACAGCACTACCTACTACCTACAAACCATTGTAATACAATAACTTGCTTAATTACCCTAACCCATCTAGTTAACCTAATTAACCTAGTTAAGGTTTTAAATGCCACTTTAAGCTGTATAGAAGTGTTTTGGGAAAAAAAAATCTAGTAAAAATTATTTATTGTCATCATGGCAAAGGTAAATCAGTTATTAGAAATGAGATTTCAGAACTATTATTTTTAGAAATGGGTTGAAAATGTGTTGATTAGCTTAAAGGGGATAATAATTTTGACCTTAAAATTGGTTTATAAAAAATATAGAAACTGCTTTTATTGAAGCCTAAATATAAATAAGATTATCTCCAGAAGAAATTCAAAGGGGGGCTAATATATATATATATATATATATGTTGGTTTATTTATGTAAGTAATGATATTGATTGATATGCAAATGTATATATAATTTATTTACAAATAAAATTTGTAAAGTATTATTTTCAGTCTGTTAGTAGAAATATTATACATAGACCAGACAAGTGGACCTAATTGCATAAACTTTAAATATGAGTTAAAAAGTTTTTTTATTTATTTTATTCAATGTGTAAGTTCTTAGTAACTATTCTCTCAAAAACTTTCCGCATAAATTTGCAGATTTACAAAATTCTGCACAAAAATAGCAAAAAACATTGGCAGATTCTGTCTAAGTAGGGATATGGTTAAGGTTAGAGACAGGTTTGAAGGTATGGGTAGGTTTAAGGTGGGTTAAGATGAATAATCATGGTCACTCTGTACAGGAAAGTCACGTTTTGTAACACAAATTCGCAAGTTAAGAGTACAGCGACATGCGGAACTTGTTGCACAAGCTTGCGTTACCATTCTAGCACACTCGCATGTATATGGATAGAAGTCAATGAGGTAAAAACTGCAATGGGAACACCGCTTAAAAAGATAAGTCAACAATGTCATTTTTAATGTAGTTCCATTACATTTTTTAAAATAGTATTTAAGGGTTGAGTATGAAGTGGAAAAGATTTTTTAAACATAACATTATGCAGATATGACATCAGTGCATTACCGATGCACAAAGCAGGACTGAAGATGAGGCATGTCAAAACACTGTAATGCAACACAGAATCACCTACGTTGGGTTTGGCCCAGCATCCTGCAGAAGAAGCAGTATTCACCCCCTGAGGCTGAAATGTGAATTCTTCAGAAAATCTGGAGTTTCTCAAGATGTTGGCGACATCTCCATCCACCTCCATCACTTTATCCACCTCGAGAAAACCCCAAAAATGACCTGATTATACACATTCTCAATATACTGTACTAAATACTGTATGTTAAATAATGTAAATGTAAATGTAAATAATGTAGTTAACTCGTTACCTGTACACTGTCAAAAGGGATTCAAGATGACTTTAAAAAACAACAAAAGAGTGAAACCATTGCTTTTGAAGTAATTAGCAGAATTTACTTAAAACTGTGGATATCAAATGTGTTGCCTAATATTTCTGTGAAAACTGTGATACATTTCTTTCCTTTATTTTGATCCACAGTTGTGCCCTTGCTAAAAAAATGATAATTAATAGTATTGATTTCTTTGAAAAACAGGCCTCAAACTTTGGAGCGTTAGTATAAATTAAGGTTTCAATGTAGAGTATATTACTTAATAAAAACAATTTCCACATTATGACCAACAAATGGGAGTAAAATACAGGACCCTTTTTGTTCGCACACTTAAATCCACTGGTTGTTGTGATTTGGTTGTGATTGTGGCATTAGTTTATTTAGTCAAAAGCATTACTGGAAAATAGTGTGATAAGCAGGATATGCATGCATAATGCGTAGCTCTCATAAAAAAACATATAACCAAGCTATAACTGCTCACCTTAAAGGCATACTGGGCATCAAACTCAAAGCTTTCCTCGCTGTCAGTAATGTCTCCATTGTACATGACCAGACAGGGCTTCTTCTCCAAACCTTTCTGTAACTTGAAGAGTCGGTATGTGGCAGACACAAATTTGTAGTCACCTATAAACAAATTGTACAATTCAAAGTATACAGACACAGAGGATTTGCCAGTTGTGCTAATGTTTTGAAGTGTAATATGCAATATGTAAAAATATTCCTTTCAGGGTGCTATTTACATTTTATATTTGACTTGACCATGTACAGATATAATAATAATTATTAATATAATAATTCATTCATTTTCTTTTCAGCTTAATCCCTTGAACTACCAACTTATCCAGCATATGTTTTACGCAGAGGATGTCCTTCCAGCTGCAACCAATCTCTGGGAAACACCCATACACTCTCATTCACAAACATACCTGTACACTACAGACAATTTAGATTACCCAATTCACCTATATTACATGACTTTTTACTGTGGGGAAAACTGGATTACCCGGATGAAACAAACGCAAACATGGGAGAACATGCAAACTCCACACAGAAATGCCAACTGATCCAGCCGAGGCTCAAACCAGCAACCTTGTTGCTGTGAGGTGACAGTGCTACCCACTGCACCACCCTAATATAATATTATTTATTTATTTATTTATTTATTTATTTATTTATTTATGGTATAGTTTTACTGCTTACCTGGTTGCTTTTTATATAGTTTGGAAAAATAATTATATTTTAGCTGAATGTCAGTTTTTTTTTTTCTTCCACAAACTATAGAGGTTTGGGACTTTTCTGAGCAATTTATTTCACTGGAAACACAAGCTGAGTATTTCGTCACACAAGAATTCTATTAGCACCAAAAAAGTAAATGTGGTGAAATTAACAAGTGGTACATATTTTGGTACCCGTGGCATGAGAGCAATGATTTCCTCCACACTGTCGACTTAATCAATATTGCAAAGTGATGTTGGGAATATACTTAGCAAGGCTGTGACTTTGCCTTAAAGGAATTTTTCACCCAAAAAATCTTAAATACATAACCAAAAAAATAATGTTATCAGTTACTCACACATGTAAGTCCAAAGAAGTTAGCACTAAGGTGCTTTTTTTTCTTTTTCCTTAATACACTCATGTTAGATTACAGGGGTATGTCAATGGCTTCTTCAGAATATCTTGCTTTGTGTTCAACAGAAAAAAGAAACTCATAAAAGTTTAGAAGCAGCTGAGTGAGTAAATGGTGAGGCAAATGTTATTTTTGGGGAGGAACTATCCTATTTAACATACATTTATTCTTCTTAAGTCACAAACCACATTTAACAACATCTAAATAACATATTGGACATATTTATGAATGAAAGCTTGAAAATCAAAAACCATGTGAAAAAATAAAACATTATCTTTTCGTTGCTGTCAGCAGAGGGTGCTGTAGAACTCTAAGCACCACTAGTTCATACTGTAGGTACTAATATAGAATATTTAGGTTAAAAAAAAGTACCTTTTCAAAAGGTACTGCCACAGCGACAGCTTTTGTACCTTTATTTCTGTGAGTATACAACACTGGTTAGGTATGAACATTCTTTAAAATACTTCATGTGTGCTTTGCAGCAGGAATTCATACAGGACTGGAAATAATGAACTGTACATTTAATTATTCTAATAATTGTTAATACTGTCAATTCAAACACAATCTGACTGTAAATGGGTGCTCTACCAACAACAAAAAACTTCAAATAAATTAAAAAAAATTGACATTGTCTACAGCAAACTTTTAAAAAAAGTGCACAAATTCAAAATAGCCATCTTTTTTTTTACTGTTGCTTGTTGTTAAATAGAAAACTGTATATTTTAAAGTCTACAGGTCAAACAATTGCTCATGCCAGATTAAAGGTTTAGTTCACTAAGTTCAAATTTATATTCTGCAATCATTTACATCATGAGTTTCTTTCTTACATCTTTTGAATGAAGATACATTCATTCATTTTCTTTTCAGCTCCCTTTATTATTCAGCCACAGCGGAATGAACTGCCAACTTATCCAGCACATGTTTTACACAGCAGATGCCCTTCCAGCTGCAACCCGACACTGGAAAACACCCACACACTTTTGCAATCACTCGCATACACTACAGCCAATTTTAGCGTATCCAATTCACCTGTACTGCATGTCTTTGGACCGTGGGGGAAACTGAAGCACCTGGAGGAAACCCACACCAAAACAGGAAGAACATGCAACCTCCACACAGAAATACCAACTCATCCAGACGGGGCTCAAACCAGCGACCTTCTTGCTGTGAGGAAATTGTACTACCTACTGCATCCCCGTGCTACCCCCAAAAGAAGATATACTGAAGTATTTTGGGACAAAACAGCCATTGACTTCCATATATATATATTCCGTATATCTCAGCATGTATGTCAATGACAGTTTTTTCAGCATTCTTCATAATATCTTATTTTATGACTTTTATGTTGATATATGTTGGTGTTCCTCCAACTGAAACAAAATATTATGTATGGGACAGGACTTTCTTTTTATTTATCATGGCTAGCAAACTAAGTTTTATTCCAGAGCATGGTTAAGAATATTGTTACATCAACAGAGAATGACCACCACTCCAAAGGTGTAAGCAAAAGGTCACACTTTGATTAGCAAAGCAAACATTTATTTTTTCAGTGGATTAACCTAAAATGAATAAATTTTCACCTAATGAATGACAGTGTGCGTTAGCAAAAACAAACTTTGTATATTCTGATTTAATTCAGACTATTTTTATGTCTCACCAAGAATGCTTTCCAGTTCCGTGTTGCCCACTGTGATGATGCTAGCAGAAACCAGCCTGGGTTTGCAGAACCCAACCTCTTCAGCTAGTCTTATCAGGTCTTCCCACCACAATGCTCCACTGAGGCACTCGCCTGATTAACACATAAAAAAGTTCATTTGAATATGCGACTTGAAACACAGTAACATGTGACAGTAAACACAGTAAGTGAAGGTAAAAATACAGCCTGTAATATTTAGAGAGAGATTCCTTTTGGCAGGATTGCTTATAATAAAAATAACTGGTGCAATTGCTATGACGCATTTTGATTGGTTGAACAGATAATTCACCCAAAAATGAAAATGATCGTTACTTACTCTCCCTTCACTTTTGAGTTTCTACTGCTGAACACAAAAGCAGATGCTTTGAAGAAAGTTAGAAACCTGTGACCATTGACTAAAAATAACAAATACTTTGAAAGTCAGCAGTTACAGGTTCTTCGAAATATATATTTTTTGTGTTCAACAGAAGAAAGTAACTCATGAAGGTTTATAAGCACTTGTGGGTGAGGAAACAGTGATTAAAATCCATGTCCTTTCATACCCCATAAAGTTTTGTTGGCCTTGAGGTGTTCTGGGATTCTAGCATCACTATAGACATCACTAAAGTACAATTCCCCTCCGTCCTAAACAGAAATAAACACATACAGTATATTCATTGTAATGTTTAACATTGCAACTATTTGATTGTCAAGTAGAATTTTGATTTGAACTGAGTTCTGGATGAAATTGAAGTACCTTCAGAACACGATACGCCTCCCTCAGAACACTGGATTTATCTGGTGACAGATTCACCACACAATTTGATCTTTTGAAATAAAGAAACAAAACCATTAAAAGTAACTATTAAAAGGAGTGTTAACCGAAAAAAAAATCTTAATAACAGTTTGCATGACTTATTAGAATCATCTCAGGACAGAAAACAATAAAGAAGTATATTTTTTTAACAACTAGGGCTCCAATTCTGAAACATTACAAGCTTACATGATAATATCATATGATTTATCCTCCAGCCCGGCTTCCACCAAGGCCTCAATGTAGCCTTGAACAAAATTCACATTTGGATTTTTATAACCAAATCTTTGCATGTGGTAGTCGATGTAATTCCGGGCTACCTCAAGCTGCAAAACAAAGACATCAGAGTAGTTACACTGCTTTAGACATGACTTTAAATGCTTTTAGGAGGGTATGCAGCACAATTATTTGAGCTGATTTGATTCAATTCAAATTCTGTCAAATTAAGTTACCATAATTATATAATTTATTCATTCATTTTCCTTCTGCTTAGTCTCTATTTCAGAGGCCACCACAGGAGAATGAACCAACAACTATTCCAGCATATACTTTACACAGCGGACACCCATCCAGCTGCAACCCAGTATTGGGAAACACCCATACACACTCATCCATTCACACACCCATACACACTCATCCATTCACACACACACACACACACACAAACACACACACACACACACACACACACACACACACACACACACACACACACACACACAACGAACAATTTTGTTTATTCAATGCACCTGTAGCTTGGATTGTGGGGGAAACTGGAACAGCAGAAGAAAACCCACACCAACATGGGGAGAACATGCAAACTCCACACAGAAATGCAACCATGAACCAGAGACCTTCTTGCTATGAGGCAACAGTGCTAGCCACTGAGTCACTGGGCCACCTAAATACATAATCTTAATGGGATTTTATTTTGGAAATAGGCTCAACTTAAAAGTTAAACATTTGAGGTTTCCAACTTTTGGGAGACAATGATATTAAGCAGCGCCCGAAAGTAGTCCCCAGGTAGGTAACAGCATTGTATGATATCATTGTGCCTGCTGCAACCATGGTATGGCAGTAAAGTTCCTTGCTTATTAAGTATAGTAATTTCAATTACTTAAAATCTAGCAATTAAAATTTAAATTTTATTTAAAATCAAGCAATTTCAGCATATTAAATAGCGTTTTTCCACCAGGCTTAATACACAATGTAGATGCAGAACAGTCAAGCTTTAAATAAGAAAATATTTAGATCTCTTTTTTTAATTTTTCGTGTTAGTAGCTAATGGTCTAATCCAATTCAATTATCTATGCTAAGCTAAGCTAAATGTGTTCATGCCAAACCTGGACTTCAGCTGAATGAATTAAAAAACAATAAAACGGTTTCCAAAAAAGAGGAGTCTGTCCTTTAAAAAAATGAACAACTACAAATTGTATCTTGTAATCAAAAGTTTATCTCTAGTAACCAATTGCAATTCATAAGTAACATACCTGGCTCTGTTTATGACAGGTCTAAACCAGTCAAGTTATGAGCATAATAACACACTCAGCAAAATAATTTAGAATTATCATTATAGTTATTGAGATATATCTTATTGTAAAATGTACAATTTGCTGTATACAGAGTATATACAGGTATCAGAGAGAAATTCAATACCTTTTAAGACTCTTTCCATACATTTTAAGCCCCTGCAGCCTCAGCCATATCACCCTACAGCCCAAGACCGGTTGGTTACATAAGCTAAGCAGGGCTGAGCCTGGTCAGTACCTGGATGGGAGACCACATGGGAAAACTAGGTTGCTGCTGGAAGTGGTGTTAATGAAACCAGCAGGAAGGGCTCAATCTGTGGTCTGTGTGAGTCCTAATGCCCCAGTAAAAGTGAAAGGAAAACTACTGACAGTGGGCGCTGTCTTTCGGATGAGATGTTAAACCGAGGTCCTGACTCTCCATGGGATTTTCATTAAACTTACTTACACATTATTTACTTTAGGTTTCAACCGGAAACACTGGCGAGATTTTAACTTACATTATATTTACTAAATATTATTGTAAGAAACTAATCCAAAACTAAAACATTATTCATATACTGAATAACAATCTATTAAATCTAGCTAATTCAGCAGGTTGGTGCCCATGGAACTGCAAAAATAGTGGTGTTGCCTTTATTTCTGCAGTAAACAAAGCAGCATGATGTCAAATCTAGCAGGATTATATTGATTTGATTTCATAAACTACCCAGCATTCTGATACTCACAGACTTAATTTAGCCAAACTTTAGCATACAACCAGACATTGCATAATCAAAAAAAAAATCTAATTGTATACCTTGCAAAATAGCATTTAAAACGGTTTAATACTTTTTACGGGCCTTAAATTTCTCTACATGAATTAATCAACATTTAATACTTTTTAAAACCCCGGAAACCCTGTTAGAACAAAAATAACCTATATAAGCAGAGTATAGTACAGCATTGCAGAGTTGTCCTAACCATCAATGCTTCAGATAAGCTCAAAAGACTGACCTGAGCTTCTGTCATGTCGATACCTGTGACGTGCCCTTTCTCTCCTACAAGCTGGCTGAGCATGTAGCAGTCACGTCCACTTCCACAGCCAAGGTCAAGCACACGGCAGCCCTCCAGACACTCTGGGACCACCAGACCACAGCCATAGTACCTGAGTGTCAAAGAGCCTATTAATGCTGTACTTGCATATTACCCATCCCACAGAGTTTAATGTAGCTGATTGTGAAAGTAAAAGTTGTGCTAAGCATCAAAGAATAAAGTGCACAATGGTTGAAATTATTGTCTCCCAGAAACGTCACGGTTTAATTCCAGCTAATACATACACTGTAAAATAACAGGTTCCATATTTCAGGCATTTTTTCTTCAGTTTACTGGATATAAAATGCAATATGGGATCTCCTTGATCTCTGCTATGTTGACTTTTGAACTTTTAACTCAAATGCAGGTAACGGGAGTTTTATTGACAATTTAGAAGTTTGAAACCCCATGTTGTATAAGTAATACTGTGCCTATGGAAAATCATCCTACCCTGTGAAAATCTTTACCTATACTCATATCACACCCTACTTTCAAAATACCCTACTTTCAAAAGTATTTGGAATATGATTTGATAACAGGCTGTATGACAAATACAGTAATTGTTTCAAAGGGCTATGATTATTTTCTATGTATATGGAGAATTAAGTCTATAAAATACCAGATAAGTGCTGGCTGTTTGTTACTTTGGGAAAGTATCATGAGTCATTAGCCGGGTAGCTAGTTAAGTTTCAGTTAGTTTGCACCAATTCTGGGTTTTGGGTACAATGAAGGTAGCTCAGCTGCTACATAATACATTGGCAACAGAAAATGATTAAAGTCAAGCTGCTTTCATGTAAGCTAAAGCCCAAGATTAGTGCAAACTACACTGAAACTTAACAAGCTAGCCAGGTACTCCAGCTTCATGGTACAGGCCCCTGGTCTTTGTACATTATAACACTAACCCAGACAATATATCACTTCAATTCAAATTAAATTCATTTCGGAATTACATACTTCCATTTGAGCCAGAGCATACAAATATCATCAGGAGTTTAGCTTTCCACCTTAAAACTTTGTTTTACTTTTACGCATGAACTAGAAGTTTTTGAGACATTTTAAAGTTGATGTATTTCCAGCTGAAACAGAATATTGAGTAGTGGATGTGGCTTTTATTTTTGGGCACCATGCCATCACAGCACCGTTAAGAATACTGATAGGGAAGCTATCAGGTTGACATCAACAGAGAAGAACTGCCACTCCAATGTCAAAGCAAATGGTTAGACTTTTAATGAAGTTAACCAAATTATTTATTTTTAAGTGGGTTAACTTAAATTCAGATTAATTCTTCTCCTTAAGAATAACAATGCCAGTTAAATAAACAATGGAAATTATAATTTCATGTGGACCTCAAGGGCTGTATTTAAATAACTGTAATGGGCATGTTGAAAGTGCATCACGATTTTAGCTTAATTCACTGATAACAGCAATTGTATTTTAGCATCAATGTATTTTTTAGCATAATAAGTGTGTAAACACATGCTGTAATGAAAGAGATTTTTTTTTGTGTGTTGTTTTTACTTTTTTGATCCATGATTAAATGTAAAATACTTGTAGATGATCCCCCAAAATAACGAAAAATCTTTAATATAGCATAATAGGGCAATTTAAAATAAATTTCAGAAAAATAAACAAACCTGTCATGTGATTTTAATTCAAATTTATTTCTATTTTTATAATGTTATATTTATTGTATTATTGGGAATATTTTATATATGATCATACTATATCAAGGCCCTATTAATCCCTCTCCAATAAAAGGTTTAAGAGGACATATGCTGTATGAATATTCAAAAATGTTATGGAATAATACAAAGAAACTGTTATTTGTTAATTCTTTGTAACTTGTATTTAATTCAGACAAAAGAACGAAGGAAATATTTCCAGCATTTTCACTGACAAACCTAAATATATTTCACAAATATATTTCACAAATATATTTCACAAATTACTGCTCTGTCACAACGTTTTTGGAGTACATTGCAGCCATAGAACCCACAACTTTACAAAATACAATTTAATTGTCACTGAAAGCATTGGAAATCCTTTCTTTGTTCTTCTGTCGTTTAAAAAAAATGTAAAACTGAATCATATTTTGCTGCATTTTAAAACACATCCCAATTTTTATTTTTATTTATTTGTTTATTTGGGGGGGGGGGGGGGGGGGGGGCTATTAATGTTGTATTCAGCGTTTTAGTAACCACATCAACACAACACATCAGTGTAAAGCTCACTTTGCAACAACATCTGGATGGATCTCAGCTATCACTTTTCTCACATACGCAGAGACAGGTTTGGCAGAAGGCACACAGGCATTGCTTTTCAGGTCTGATTTCTGCTTCAACGTCTTTCCGTAGTATTCCTGCAAAAAGTACATGTATTTTAGGGATTAAATGTATTCATGTATTAATGTCTTATACGATCAGAGTTCTGTTAAATTTGTGACTAGGGTAAACTGTCCGCAGAACTGGGATGTAGAAAATCAAACGAATAAATAAAACATTACGTTTTAGTAAAATGTCAAGAAGCAAAAGCATACCTTAACGTCATTGTAGACACTTGTTACAGTCCTGTCCCTTTGAACAAGAAATTATACAACAAATAAACGTAACGTTACTTGGAACGACTTTGTTTAGTGCAGAATAGACTCACTTTCACTTTTGTAACGTTAGCTATATCGACAACAGTTTTGTAGTCTCAGAATGAAACCTCGGTAACTTTATCAGCTGTAATGACACTGCAGATATATGTTACTTAAAATTATTGTTATTTGTTTCCATTTGTTCAAAAACCGAGCAGCAACAAGTTTATTTTTATTTTAAGTCCGATCTACCTGGCTGCGTCTGCCATGGTCAAACGCTGGCTCTGGCTGAACTGTGAGCGATTTGATCTTTTTCGGCTTCTGTAGTTTTGCGGATTCAGCCAATCAGCGAGCAGTACATCATGTGTGGTCGTGAGTGCATTGCCTGTCCAAGTAAATGATTGATTAGTAAACTTGCTGATAGATCACAACCATAGGTCAAAACATAATATCATTGTAAAGATCTATGTTGAATTGTCTTTTTATTTATTTTTTTTATTTATGTAATTTATATTTTAGGTTATTTTATGTTATTAGTTACATTTGTATTTTTTTGGATGTCATGTTTACATTGTATATTTGCTGTTGTTTAATAAAAATAAAAAATCCCGAGTAAATGATTAATATAATGTAATAAACAAGACTGCTGTGGGTTTGTTTGCACGAAATCAGACCTAGAGACCGCTTCAGAGGAGCATGTTTAAAAGCTACAGTTATCTAAAGTTTAAATAATAGTTTTAGAACTATTTTGTACTTCTGAATTTCGAATATATAAAATCATAAACTGATAAACTGTAACACACACACACACACACACACACACACACACACACACACACACACATATATATATATATATATATATATATATATATATATATATATATATATATATATATATATATATATATATATATATATATATATACATATATATATATATACTGAAAAATCCAGCTTAAACCAGCCTAGGAAAAGGCCAAAACCCCTCTAAATCCAGCCTGGTCGACCAGCTAAAACCAGCCTAGGCTGGTTTAAGCTGGATTTTTCTGCAGGGTATATATATGTGTGTGTGTGTGTGTGTGTGTGTGTGTGTGTGTGTGTGTGTGTGTGTGTGTGTGTGTGTGTGTGTGTGTGTGTGTGTGTGTGTGTGTGTGTGTGTGTGTGTGTGTGTGTGTGTGTGTGTGTGTGTGTGTGTGTGTGTGTGTGTGTGTGTGTGATAAAAATTTTATTTAACCTTTAATTTAAGCTTTTTATTGTTAAAAATTGTTATGCTGTATAGAATATTAAACCCTAGGCATACTAGATAGCCTATTTTAGCCTATAATAGATGGGATTCTACCAGAAACGTACACATCTGTTCCTGAAATAAAAACATTACAGTGAATAAAAAGTATTTCAATCCAAAAATTTGTGAAATGGACATATGTTTAATTTCTGTTAGTTGTTCTGTTAAGAAATATAATTTAATTTTCACATGTTTATTCTTTATGTGCAAACTGTCAGGATCCAGCCCTTACAGCCCTGTCACTCCTATCTGTGTTTAATGTCTCTTTGTTTGTTTTGTGTATTAGCACATGGTTGTCTCTTTTGTTATGTTGGCCATGTGCTCCCCTTGTCCTGCCTCCTTGTTTAGTCCTTGTTTGTTTAATTTTGTTCACCTGTTCCTTGTACTCCTCTACTCCCAAGACACTCCCCTCTGCATCATCCTGAATTCCTGAGTCTCCTCCCCTTACCAGCCTGTTCTCCTGCCATCACCTTTCACTATTGTGTGGACTGTCCTTCTGCGTTGCCTTGTTTACCTTCTGTAAATAAACTTTGTGTTCTCCTGTCTATTCTGCATTTGGGTCCTCCTTGCCAACCTTGACACAAACCCTGTCATTGTCTTTGTCCTTTTCAGCACAGGGGTGGACTGGGACAAAAATTCAGCCCTGACACTGTAGCCACACTAGCCCACATTACCACGCCGACACAGCCCCAATCATGGACATGCACATTCACTGCGTACATGAGCTCATTTGTCCTATTTTAACTGCTATGCCATCATAAGTAGTGAAAGAAATTAATTGAAAAAGGCTTTAAGACCAGACGAAATCTTCTGTCGGCAGGTACAGGTAACTTTTATTATAAATCTTGGACCTTATTTCTGAAATAAAAATGAGCAATAAAAAGGTGTGAAGCACCAGAAGCTGACCAATTAAATTAATTTGAATATATTTTGGCTGTTGTTAATATCCAGGAATTTTCAAATGTATTTTTATTTTTATTTTTTTTACCAGAGACTAGAATTCATTCAGAAGAATTCATTATAATTGTTTCATTATTATTATGTTTTAATCATTATATTATTTTTTTATTGAAATGGCCAAATTGTGACTGAGGACAGTTGCATGTGCTGGCTAGTGTTTTTTTTTTTTTTTTTTTTTTTTGTCTAATAAATGATAGTATAGGCTACAGTTTTTTATTTTATTTTTTTTACTTTTAAAACTTTAACAGATTGCTTTTTTTTCCTAATGATATATTCTAAAAGGCAATAAGAAAATACTGTACTAAATTGTAACAGATTTAATTTTTTGGTATTTTATAAATTAGGTCATAAAAAAGAATTGCAATTTTAAATCATTGCTGTTTGGTACGATATTGCAGCTTTTTAATAAGGGTCAACAAAAAAAGGAAGTAAATAATAAAAATTAATAATTAGAATATCATGCTCAACACCTTTAGTGCACCAACATCGCACACAGACACGCAGGTATAAAAGAATCAAGATATGAACCTCAACCATGGTTGCTAAAAAAAGTTGTATAATTCATTCATGCTGCAATGCATGCTGGGTGCCAGCATAGTACAAAACTCCCACCATGCATTGCAGCATAAATACATTAGGCAGCTTAAAGTTCTTACTCTTTCTTACACTTTTCTTTTTTTGGAGGTGTAATATTTCAGTAGAGTGTTTTGTATTGTTCTGGGTTGTTTATTTTTATTATTAGTTTGTTTGTCACCATTATTGAGAATCAACTAATTGTTGATGTTTATGTGTTTTTAAATAGTTCACAAGAGTATACAATCTCATTGTGAAAAGTGTATATAGGGCTGAATTTAGATGACGATGATTAAGTAGAAGTAATAAGCACGCTTATCAAATTCGCAATGCAGTGCATGGCAAGCATTGCAGTAGTTATAGAATCATTTGCGGAATGTTTGATGACGTCTAAGTTTTGCTGAATATGATATTAACTACCCAAATGAGGTACTTTGCCACTGTGTGACCAATATTTACAATTTTTTTACATTTACATTTTTTTCAGAATTACGGTCAGATAAAAGCATTGATTTTCTGAAGTAGTAAAAAACGCAATCAATGGGTTTTGTAAGAAATATAATTTGTTGTAGCTTCAGAACGATCTATCCTTGCAACAAGAATGTTTAGAGTCTGACCTAATAAAGCATCTGAACGTGATTTCCTGAGGAACAATCTGAACTAGGACACCGTGTGTACAAACGGAATGTACCGCCACATTTCCTTTGGTCAAGCCATACCTGAACGACAGGGGGCGGGAGAATACTTATGATGCCAAATAGAATAGTGTTGACTGTTTAATAAAGCTAACAAAAACCTTTTCATAGCAATTCAATAATTGATAAAAACCTGGTTTGGTATTCAAAACACTTACACATATTGTACTGATTTGAGTTTAATGGAGAGTGTCATGATTAGACATTTTGCAATGTTACACAAAACAGCAATAAAATGTTGTAAAGCCTAACATGACATCACATTTAACAGAAGAAACGCTAACAATGCATCAGAGATTCATAGAATTTCTGAAAATCAGCAGCTTATTAATATATCAAAGAAAGACACTGATTCATAGTCTTCAAGCACAGCTCTAAAGTTATTAGATTGTCAACACAAGACAACAGTAAGAGCAGCAAGTCGTTTATTACCTTTATTCTAATAACATTCATTGGGGCAAAGATATAAATTAAATATGGAGAGTTCAGAAATAATGCTTCAGTGGTCATGGAGGAATCTGAAACTGAAGCTACTTTGGTGCAGATATACAAAAAAATAATAATATTCTTTATACTCCTATGTATGGCTCATTCGTTTCCGTGCAGCCAGACAAATCAAGACAGATGCTGAACTGTCAAAGAAAAGCTTTTAAATAAAAATGATATATTCTATGAAAGAAATGTCCAAGATGACAGTATTCAACTATGTGAAACTGCATTAATAGTGGTTGTAACGGAAAAAGGCACTTGTATATTCATGTTACACCAAATTTGCTATATATTTATATAAAATCTACCATTAACGTTCAACAGAATAAATGTAATGTTTACTAATATTTTTTAAAACTCCTTGGAGTTTAATATATTTCAATAAAAAAATAATTATGTTGTTTTCTAGCTTACATAAAGGGCTATGCACTTGTAAGAGCAGACGTCCAGCAGTGAACGCTTGAGTTTAAAGACACCTCCCTTTGGCAAAGCTTTTATCTCTATAGGTTAAATAAAAAACATGTAGTGTTTGTATACTATCAGAAACTGTTAATAATGCTGCATTATTAAACTCTAAGCAAGTTTTAGCTGACTGGGCTACCAAAACGCAGATGTATGAATATGCTTACATCATCAAAAACAACAAAAGACACTGTAAGCGGATGAAATGTGAATTAAGACTGTGTGTAAAACCTTTTGTATTTGACAGAAATTAGCATGAATATGACTCATTCAGAACATTGTGATTGTGCAAAGCAAAAACTCAATACACATCAATAAGATTAATCCTGTTGCATTAGGCAAAGCTGACAGGCATATTTGGCTTTTATGCATAAAGCCTTTTTCTTTTTTTGGTGTTCAGACAGTTAATAAATTTCATTCCGACTGGCCTGAGAGCTCAGCACACCAGTGTTTCTGTATTTAGCATCTAAATGCTAAGACGGCACAGTTAAAGTGCTGCCACGTTAGCGACAATTGTGCACAAGCAAAAAAAAAAAAAAAAAAAAAAAAATTAATAATAATAATAATAATAATAATAATAATAATATATATATATATATATATATATATATATATATATATATATATATATATATATATATATATATATATATATATATATATATATAAACAAAAAACAGTCCACTGTTCATTGTCAATAAAATAGAAATACACTAAGCATCGCTAGTCACTTTTAAACTACACAGCTTTCTGCTGGTCCAAAATCTGCCACTCTTGATCACATAGACTGCTATTACAAAGCAACTGTAAATGTGACTGCACCATTACACATCCTCTAGGTGTCTTTTGATGTGCAGAGGTCACCACTGAAAAATCTAATTTATGAGTTGCACATAAACACCCCACAATATCATAATTAAGATATGTGAAAATCTTTGACCCTTAAGGGAGAGTTCACAACAAATTCAATAAAACAATCCGTTATAATTTACTCTTCTTTCTTTCTTTCTTTCTTTCTTTCTTTCTTTCTTTCTTTCTTTCTTTCTTTCTTTCTTTCTTGTTGAACACAAAGACATACTAAAGAAAGTTGAGGGGAAAAACAACCATTGACTTCTATTTTTTCCCTGCTATGGATGCCAACGGCCGCTATGTGTACAACAGAAGAGAGAAATTCAGAAAAGTTCAGAACCACATGAGTGAGAGTACAAACTAGTATGTAGAGATGTTCTTTCTGGGTGAACCGTCCCTTTAGGCTCCAACACATCAAGAACGATAAGTATAAAGGTATTGCTATAACAATATTGCCATCCACATCAACACACAAATCGGTTATCTTCATAATAAGCACAGAGTAACTTTGTCCATAATCACTTTCAATGCTCTTTAGAGCAAATTAAACTAGCCGTCACTGCTTTCATTGTTTTCAGTTGGGAAAAAAAACAAAATTGTAATATCAGTCCTCTGTGCCATTATCGTCAAGGTATAGAATCACGTATTGCTTTATTCTTATAAATGTTTGTTTATTTTCCAATTAAATATAATTTCACTTCATTTCATTCATGGCATACGCAATGACTGCAGTATCTGTCAACAGTCAGCGAACGTTTCTAAATAGTACTTTCACTTTTAATAAAACTAGCTATTGCATGTACAAATGTATTGCGGAGTTAAAACCATTCCAAGATTATAGAATGATTCAGCACCTTTAGAATCTGATGCAATATATAATATCATAATTTTGCTGTTTTTTTAAAGAAAAAAAAAACCCTGAAGAGACTTGAACGCACAATGTTATAATTACGACTTCCCAACTCATAAACACACCATTATAGTACCACATAATGCCGAGTTCAGACAGCATGATTTTAGCCCCGATTTTGACCCACTGAGGTTTTTAAGAAATCACAGACAAATGCCTGAAATCACATTCAAATCTGTGCTCGTTTACGCGAGTAACAATCACACAATGTGAACTGTCAAAGACGCGATCTGAGAGAATCTCCAATGAGTCGCAGATGCCCATGAGACATTTGGCATGCTAAATATCTGGAGCTGTCTGTGATTCAAATAATGCCGTGTGAAATGAGTTTTGAATGAAAATAACATTGACGATCATCCACAGCCAATGAGAGAGAAGCATCCACTGGTTTGGGTATCTGCAGGCCAGTGGGAGATTGGAGGAGAAGTTAAAAGCGCTCATTTTCAGATTATTTGGACCCAAGAAATGGAGAAAAAATAGTGTAAATTTGGCAGCAGCATCCGTGTCTATTTGATGTGTCATGTGAGCAATATCACAACTGGGTCAAAAAAGAAAAAGTTGAGGAGAATGCTAACTCCCTTCAAACCCAGGTGAGCAAATATGTAAATTTTCTACCTCATTAAAGGCTTCTTTCTCGTTATGCAGTTAATAACAAAAGATATACGACGTGTTTTTGGTTGTGAGACATAGTTTGGACAAAGTTGTCAGTGTTTCTTTCTACTGTAAAGTCATCCAGTGTGAAACCCCCTGTCGCCGATCCTTCTTGCAGTGTAAACAAAGCAGCGACAAAACGCTAGCCAAGATAGTCATGCATGGTGAAAACATCTGTGACACGACTACTTTGAAAATCATGCAGTCTGAACTTAGCATAAGGCACATCATCTGGTACAGGAGTAGAGCTTATTTGGGCCCTTTTGAGCTTTTTAAAACTGCATTAAAAGATGCTTTGCACACAAAACCAAGGCGGAGAGCATCCGATTGCTTCTATCACATCATTATATACAAATATACACAGTATAGTCTCTGCACAGCATATTGTATCTTCTTTACACCTCGGCCACCCCTTCTTTCTTTAAATCAGTAAAGTCATGCAGTCAGCTTTAAGATTCTGTGTTGTTCTGATGTGGAGCCTCCTGTTCATTAATAGTATGCAAATAGAGGCAAACAGGATGAGACTGAAGCAGTGGCGAAGCTCCACGCTCCACTCGGTTTTCGGGAGAAAGAAGTTCTTGACTTTCCTCTCCATACGACTGAAGGATACAATCCTCACAGAAGTCCTCAGAGTCCTCTTGATCCTCCTCACTCAAAAGCCCCTCGAATTCATTAGGCTCGTGACTCTCTAAGCCTCGTCCGCAAACACACACCTCAATCCCAGAGTCCCCAGTAAATCGACGGTGCCGTCCCTGAATCCGCTCTTTCTCTTCAGGCATGGCCATATTCCTGAGCGGCTCTTTTCTGCACTCGTTCTGCTTTTCAGGAGACTGATCTTGGGGCAGGGGGGTTTCTGTGGATCTGCTCCGCTCTAGCTGCATTTCAGCCTTGTCGTCGTCTTTGTGCTGGTAGCCGTCAGAGGTTTGGATCTCTTCTAGGCTGGGTGTGTCGGGTACAGGGGGCACCGGAGTGGTCTGTTGGGGTGGGCAGTGGACATCCTGCTGGTCTGTGGTTATAGGGCCGCTGTAAGTTGGAGGGCCGCTGCTTAAGGCGCTGTAAGGGGGAGGAGGAGTAGCAGGACGATGCACCACCTCTTCGTATTCTGGAAGGAGAGAGTTGGGTAGGAATCCTGAAAGAGATGGAGGAGAACAACTGTGAGAATTTGAAGAGATTCATCCCACAATTACACATCTGTCATCATTTACGCAGCCTTTTTTTTGTTCCGTTGAACAAAAAACAACACAGATATTTTCAAGAAAGTTAGAAACTAGTAACCACTGATGTATTTGTTTTTCTTCCAATTTACATCAGTGGTTACTGATTTACAACATTCTTCAAAATATTTTTTTATTTGTTCCATAAAATAAAAAAAAATAAAAAAGCGGAACAACTTAACAGTGAGTAAATGGATATAACAGTACAAAAGAAGATATTTTGAATATTGTTAAAAACTGGAAACCATTGATGTTCATAGCATTTGCTTTTTCTACTATGGACATCAGTGTTTTTTTTTAGTTTCCAACATACTTCGAATTATATATATATATATTTTTAGTTAATATAAAAAATGGTTTAAAACAATTTAATGATGAGTAAATGATAACAGGGCGAGGCAGTGGCGCAGTAGGTAGTGCTGACGCCTTACAGCAAGAAGGTCGCTGGTTCGAGCCTCAGCTCAGTTGGCGTTTCTGTGTGGAGTTTGCATGTGGGTGCTCCGGGTGCTCCGGTTTCCCCCATAATCCAAAGACATGCAGTACAGGTGAATTGGGTAGGCTAAATTGTCCGTAGTGTGTGAATGTGTGTGTGGATGTTTCCCAGAGATGGGTTGCGGCTGGAAGGGCATCCGCTGCGTAAAAACTAATAAGTTAAGTTAATAAGTTGGCGGTTTATTCCACTGTGGTGACCCCGGATTAATAAAGGGACTAAGCCGACAAGAATATGAATGAATGAATAATTGATAACAGATGTTTAATTTTTGGGAAAACTATCCCTTTAAAATTCAGACTTTTTCCTTTTAGTTAATGAAAACACAGGTTCAAACGGATCGTTCACGCACAAATTAAACCCCTGATCATTTATACATGCATTTCTGTGGAAATTAAGTTCTACCACATAATGGGGAAAGGGTGATTTGGTAAATTAATCATGACGACTGTCAAAAATCTAACACATTATTATGATGTTAAAACATTATTTATACAATTAATAATATTAATATATACCCACTAATAATTATAATTAATGATACTAATAATAATAATAATATTATGACACCCTCTGCAAATGCATTGATGAAATTAACAGTTGAATGTGCCAAAACTTTCTTCAGTTGAACAAATAGAAAACTAAAGTGATTGCGTTTGGGAACAGAGATGAGGTTCTCAAGGTTAATGCGTAGTTTGGCACTAAAGGTCAAACAACAAAAAATAAGGCCAAGAATCTTGGTGTGACTCTTTAGTCAGATCTGGGTATCAATAGTAATGTGAAATCAGTTAGTACATTAGCATACTATCATCTCAAAAACCTGGGAATAAGATGCTTTGTTTTCAGTGAAGACTTAGAGAAACTTGTTCATACTTTTATTAGCAGCAGGGTGGATTACAGCTCATCCAGAACACTGTGGCCAGGATTCTGACCAGACCCAGGAAATCAGAGCACATCACACCTGTCCTCAGGTCTTTACATTGGCTCCCAGTTACATCCAGTATATGTTTCAAAGTATTATTACTGGTCTATAAATCCCTAAATGGCACAGGACCTCAATAAATTACAAACATACTGACTGAATACAAACCCAACAGATTACTCAGATCTTTAGGATCAAATAAACTAGAAATTCCAAGAGTTCAGTCAAAGCAGGGAGAATTAACTTTCAGCAACTATGCCCTCACTACTGAAATCAGCTTTCAGAAATGATCAGATTTGCTCCAACATTAGGCACATTCAAATCAAGACTGAAAACACATCTGTTTAGCTGTGCCTTTACTGAATAAGCACAGTGCTGCATCTGACAGATCACACTTATGTTTTTCTCTTCTTTTTCATTCTTTTATAACCTGTTTTAAAACATTTTTTTTGTTTTTATCAGTTTTTTTAATCATTTTTATTATTTGTTTTTTTATAACCATTTATAACCTGTTTTAAAACATTTTTTTTCGTTTTTATCAGTTTTTTTAATCATTTTTATTATTTGTTTTTATTGTTCTTATACCCGTCTCTTTTATTCCTGTTTAAGCAGAGAACTTTGAATTGGCACCATGTATGAAATGTGCTTTATAAATAAACTTGCCTTGCTTTGCCTTATACATTTTACAGTCATACTATTGACATAAAACAATTTTTGTTGTTTCTATCCCCTCAGTTTTGACCTAAACAATATTTTGACATGTCAAAATGTTGGCAAACCAAGTAATACTTATGAAATACAAAGTTGAAATTAGGACAGCTCAACATTGTGAGAAGAACTGAAATGGGGACAAAGTCATGATTAGGACTAATTATTTCAATTATGACAAAGTGTGTCTTACAGAGGAAATTTCCTCATGATTTGCTCACACAAGAGTGGTTTTAAACTTCTGTTTCTTCTGTTGAGCACAAAACAACATATTCTGAAAAATGTTAAGAAAAAAAACAACCATGTACATCTACAGTATGAATAAAATGAAACCTATAAAAAACATGGCTGTCAATGGCTGTTTACTTTAAGCATTCTTCAGTATGTCTTCCTTTGTGTTTAACAAATCAAACCCTGTTTGAAACAAGTGGAGAAGGTAAATTATAACAAAAAATTGGATGAACTATACCCTTTTAAGCTCTTATATTATGCTTTAAACTTTTTATCTCAAATTTATAACAGTATGTCATAATATTACATGCCAGCTTTGATTTTGCCAGTTAATGTCACATTACTGTATGTCATTTATAAACATTTATATCATCTGAATTTTTCAGCACTTGGAATTATGAATTATGGCATGTCTATAATAAAAAAGTAGTAAATTTTAGCATAAATGTATAAAATTTGACTCAAAGAATGATTTTAGATAGAAAAAAGGTTTTACAATGATAAAATAAATACAAGTGATGATATTTTCATTTAAGATTAAGGTACAAAGCAAAATATCAACATATTAAGTTTTCTGGTTTTGTCCACTCAGAAGTCTTTTTCAGGTCAACATTTCCTTTCACAAAACAACATATAGCACATATGGTTTTAAATAAAAACCATTAGATTTTATCAGCTTTCCTTAATGACCAGTGAACAAGAGTCATTCATCTTGCCTTTTAGAAGAGACCAGAGCTACTGTTACATTAAATAAATCAGTTCTATCTCTGTTTTTGGTTAATGGTTTACATAAAAGGCTGACTAGTGATTTTCATTATTGTACCAAATATTATGAAAGACAAACAGTTGTAAGTATAACTGTATATAAGCCTCTGGGATCTTTAATATATTTTACATTGAATTGATTAGTAGCCTGATGCAGTATAATTTTACTAAAAACTGAAATTATAATAATTGAAAAGTAATGCATTTCCCAGCAGTTTCACACAGGAGGAATGATAAATTAGATTATAAACCTTACTGCAACAGTGTAAACCACTAGACCAAAATCCAATATTACAACACTGCATTGGATTATGGTCCCACTGAGATTCACTGTGGTCAACTGGTCACAGATCAATAAAGTACAGTACAATAAGTCTCTGATCAGGAATAAAAACCATCTCAAAGCCTTTTAATATAACCGTTCCAGGAGCTGTGACACTTATATGTTGGCTTGAAAAACCAAGACTCTAACTAAATATACATCACTCTTTAAAAGAGATGAATATAGGATTGTGTACACTGACATATTAATAATTATTAAAAACTATTGTCTGCAAGTATTTCTCTTGATTAAACAACAATAAAAAAGCAATAAAAAGATAAGACAGAACTGATCATGAAATTCTCATGTTGTGACGTGCTCTCAGTATGTTCTTTACTTTCGATCAGTTGGCACAGATTAGATTAAAAGTACAATGATTCATTGCTCTTAAACCACAGCAACTCTAAAAGCTACTTAAGGCTGCATTTACACAGCACTGTTCAAGTGACTCAATTTCGATTTTTTTCTCCCATGTGGCACAGATCGGACATGGCCCATGTACATGTAAGCAGGAAAAAAACACATGGATTCTGATTTACTCAAATCAGATTCAGGCTTTGTTCATATGTGGAAATTTATCCAATATGAATCAGACATGTGTTCTCGTGGCTGCAGTGTAAGCTGGTTGATCAGATTTTCACCTGTCAATGCTAGTCGTGCGACATTTAAAACCATATCGAATGACGTCATTGGGACTTTCTTTTCAGAACAGACTTCAGCAAAGTCCCAAACCTTACATCTCATTTATGAGGACTTTTATGTTGTCATATAGCACAGGTATTTGAGGATGATAACGAGAGTGAAATGTCTGCCAAGTAACCAATATAAACTAATATAAAACTAGTGCATAGCTACATCACGTGCATAAATCACGCCATGGACATTACATTAAGATGTTTAAAAAAGCTCATATATTAAAAGAAAATGGACAAATGAGAACCTTTCTGTCATAATATAGGAAAACAGCTTGTTAAAAGCTGAGAACAGGTTACATCCAGGAATATAGAAAAAAGCTTTCTTTAATTATCAGATGTTAGTCAGTGGCCGCTCTTTTTTTCCCTGGTCATTGTGCCTTTGCCGTGTGCTGTGTAAATGCAGGCAATCGGATACGAATCACTTTTAAAAGATGATGTAAGCAGGTCATCAAAAAATAAATAAATAAATAAATAAAAAATTCGGATACAGCCACAAAATCGGAATTGACCATCAAGATCTGCAGTGTAAATGCAACCTAATATTATAGGCGTGCCTGAGCGTAGTTCACATGGGTTTTGGTGCGCTTTGTAGAAAGCAGGCTTACTAATGACAATTTTTTATTATGTTGTTTGACATGTTTGTATTTATAACTTTCCTATATTTTAAGTATTTGAAATTATCTTTAATTATTATTGTTTTGGCATGTTTGTTGTAAGGTGACCTTGAGAAAGGCTCCATTTTTAAATGAAATAAATTATTATTATGGTTATTATTATTTTTTTTTAATTATTATTATTAATATTATTATTATGATTGTTATTATTATTATTATTATTGTTGTTATAGTAACTATTATTATTGTTGTTATTATTTTAAACAATGCTGCCATTTAAAACGTTCTATTATTTAAACACAAAAACATGAATGAATGAATGTACAAAAAACTATTTCAACAAACAAAACTAATATTTCTTGAGCTGCAAATAAGTAGGCTATATTAGGATTATTTCTCAAGTATCGCGTAACACTGAATACTGATATAAGGTTAAAAATTCATCCTTACATAAGAAAAAATATAAAACAAATTAATAAAACATTAAGATTAAAATAAAAACTATTGTTTAAAATATATAAATTGTAACATTCAACACGAATGACAATAACATTGTTGAATGCAGCATATAAAAAACAAACTTCTGTTAACTCACTGCAGTGGGGCATTTCTAAACTACTAGATTTACTGAAGACTATTGGAACATTATTGATGATAACTGGTCTTAAATCACAAAGCTATTGTGAACAGCACACAAATATCATTGTGCATGTTGTTATGCAACATGTTGGTATTACTCATAATATTAAAGAGATATTATGGTTCACAGTGACACTGCTCTTAAAAAGCAAAATGATCAGCCTGTGTGGGATTTAGCTTTAATTCACAGACAAAAAGTCTTGCCTGTAAGCATAATTAACAGAAGTTGCCACATCTTGTACAAGACCCAAGATAAGACCCAATTAGGCAAAAACATTCACACTTGTGCAAACACATGACCAGACCTAGACTGTGGATTATTAATAATAATAATAATATTGTAAATATTGATCGAAGTTGACAGATCGTTCAATTCATAAGGCCTCAGAGGAGCCAAAGGGATTCATTTGGACTTGTTTGTATAGATTTATCATTAATCTTAAAAACGGGTGACCATTGACTAGAATTATATGGACCAAGGAGAAAAAAAAAGAAGAAAAAAGTCACCAACATTTTTAATGGCCTGAGAGTAAGTGAAGTGTATCTTTTACTTTTTGGGTAAAATAATCGCAAAACTCTCCTGATTCCACACTCTAACTCCACTTTTGCTCTTTGAGAATACGTGCTCTCTAGTAGTGAAAATGACCTACTGCTTATTACTGTGAAAATAAGAGCACTTTAAAAATATGCAGTACATGAGCTAATACGAGACATTTAAATGATTACATTTGTGTTATCTGAGCTAATGTTGAATTTCATTTTTTGTTTGAAATATAAATATTTCAATTTAAATTTGACAATTTATTGGGGAAAAAAGAAGGTTTGAAGACAGCAGCTGTATTTGCATGCATTTGCCTACATAGAAAACAAAAGACTGGGTGTCAAGATGTCCGGCATGGAAAGTGGAAATTCGCATCCCTCAAAAAGGGACTTTGATCAAAATGTTCCATGGCATGAAAAAAAAAAAAAAAAATCTCAGACCAAATATTTGATAACACCGTGTTTCACACATGCTCTCACTGAGGGTAAACAGACAGACAGCAGGTGCTGAGTAACAGATGTAGGTGTTTGCGATTCATCTCATCTTTCAGCGAAACCAGGTCAAGCTCATCAATAACAAATCTGTCTAAGAAGAAATGGGGAAAAATCTTTTCCTCTTCATCAAAACACATTCTTTGCTGCTGTACATGCTGCAGACAGAATGAGAGAGATATACAGTACAGTTGAAAACCTCCTCTGACCTCTTTCCAAATTTGAATCATTGTTTTAATATTCCCCAAGCTATGTCTATAAATGTTTTTAAATGTAAAAATAGCCAACATCATTTTTATTTTTAATTGGATACAGAACAAACCACTGTTGTTCAATGCCTATTGCCTAACAAACCTCACTTGCCTAGTTAACCCAATTAGCCTAGTTAAGATAAACTTTAGTTAAAAATATTGTTTAAAAAATGTGTTAAAAACAACAACAACTTCTCAGCATTAAACAGCACTCACAATTACAGAATTACGATTTCATAGGAGGCCTAATACTTTGGTGTTAAACTATATATAATAAGAATTATTATCTGAGAATTTTCAATGTAGATCTTAGGGCTGGATGATTTGGCCTTGGCCACTGCTTTAAAAAAAAAAAGATAAAAAAAACTTGCACTTTTGGAAATAAAATGAATCATTTTTAATATTTTTTTGAATGTTTTTCATATTAAAAAGTAGAAAATAAGCAGCATCTCTTTTTAGTAAAATGACTTTTGTATATCCTATAAACAATATTTTAAACAGTGCATTTCTTAAATCTTGTAAACAAGTATTTTAAATGTAAATAATAGTTTTATTGTAATGGAAAATATGACATCTGGTGCAGCTTCCAATCATTGTCAATGTAGTGCAAATGCGTGACGTGGAGTTACTTTTTTGGAGAGGTTCAAATAAGCTACTGCCCGAAAGCTGCACCGGACCATACCCGTTTGTTCAACTTAGAAGTATAAAGTAGCCCTAATAGAGCAGGGTCACGTGACTCCACACACGGTAGAGAAAGTAATTGAAAAAATCATCCTGGAGAAATTTATTCAATTATAGGTTCTGAATGTGGATTTCGTTTACTTTGATTAATTGTTCAGCCCTAGTAGATCTACATTACTTTTCTATCATTTGCTGTTTTTAATTGTTGATATTGTTTTGGTTGCATTTAACATATTTACAAAGAGCTAAAGTAATGTACCACTAATTTAATCAAATAATTAAAGTTAACATTAATGTTATATAATGTGAATGTTAATAATGTAAATTACCATAAACATTAATAAACAATGTACAAAGGGGTTTTATTTGTTAAAATAAGGAAATACATTAGTAAATATGAGGAATTTTAGCTAATGCTAATGTTAGTTCACAGTGCATTAGGTAACAGTCAATGTTTCAGTAAATGTTGAAAGTAACATTAAACAGTGGTGTAAAGTAACAAATTATAAATACTCAAACTACTGTAATTCTGTATTTTTTTTCTCAGAAATTATAGTTTAAGTAGTTTTAAAAATATGTACTTTTACTTTCCCTTAAGTACATTTTTAATGCAGAATTAGTTCTTTAACACCACTACTTTCCTTCAACCCGCAGTCACTACTTTGTTTTTTCTTGTTTATGGGGATTAGAAAAAGCAGTCCTGTAATTCCTGTCCAACCAATTCACACAGAAAGTAAACCGCCACATAATGAACTACCTCAAGACAGGCAATTTGTAATTGCAGCAAACTGTTTGGAAGCATTAAAAGTGTTCAAGAATGTGTCCAAAATCTTTACATGCATTGACCCAGAGACTGTTTAGATGCAAGTCACTGATTAGAAAATGACAGATGTCTACTGTATGATGACCGAAATGGTCTTAAACACCCAACAGGCACAAGGCGTCAACATAACGCCAGATTAACATCGTGCCCCAATGTCATGGGGACGTTGCATTTTGTTAGGAAATTAAAATCGGGTTTACATCAGAACCCAACATCAGTCCAACGTCCAACCTGAAATTAACCAAATATCAACATCTAATGAAGTTACAGCTTGACGCTGTGTGGACGTTACTACTTTGATATCATGTTGGATTTTGGTTGCCATACCTGACGAATAAATGTCAGTATTTGACGTGAATATGACGTTGGTTTAAGATGTTGACTCGACGTTGAATTTTGGTCACTTTCTAACACAACCTAAAAACCAACCAAATATCAACGACGTTATTGAAAATCAAAATAAAGCTGTCCTTAGACACTTTAGCACAGCAAATACAGCTATGTAAAGAAGGGAGATGACATTACTGAAGTAGAAGGGCAGAGATGTGTGGTTGTGAACCTCTCTGTAGGCAATGAGGTTAATCTCGTGCTGTCGCTGCTGCTGTTGTAGTCTGTGTTTGGTGCGACGGTGATGACATACACAGCAGCAGCTCAAGATAAAGATGATGGCCCAAACCAGCCAGAACCCTGGAGAAAAAAGAAAAAAATAAATAAAACATACACACACACACACAAACACACACAGAAACAAAACACAAGGAAATGGTCCTGCACCAAAATAATCTAAACATTTCAAGAATGCCTCTATACCGCTTCATAAAGCTGGACTAATTCCTCTTAGACTTAAAACACAGCTCATTAACAAATAGTCACACTCTCAGCATAAGGATTTGTAAGACTCATGTCGTTTTTCCTCCAGTTTGCAAAAAGTTGAGCGCCTTAAGTCGAATTCACTTCCTGTACAAGATTCACTTTCTGTACAAGGAATATTCTTTTAAGCCTCTTAACTTAAAGGCTCATTTCCATGGCATTGTATCTCACAATTCTTACGATTAAACCAGGTTCCTTCTACTTTTATTTACTAACTTGACAAAATAGTAAGTCATTTGAGAATATTGTCATGAAAGAGTTGTATTGTCTGTCTTGTACAAAGCTTAATAAGGCACCAGGCCCTGATGGGCTCAAAAGGAGCGTATTTATTTAAGGTCTGTGTTTATCAACTGGCAGGGTTTTTTTAACCCAGTTTTCCAGATTTTGCTAAATACAGGAATTGTGCCAAATACATAGAAAACATCTACAGATGTTCCCATGCCCAAATTGATGGAGATAAAAAAAAATATAAATTATTTTAGACCTACATACAGAAAACAGAAAAAAACATACAGAAAAGCCAGAGGCACCAATGATGCAGTGCTAACATTATACAATTTCTATACAATAAACTTCAAGTTATGTAAGAATTCTGCTTTCAGATTTTAATTCAGCTTTTAATTTGATGAAGATTTATGTTTTAATTCAACAACTGATTGATTTGGAGGTAAATGAGGGACTTAAATAGATAAGTAGGGCTGCACAATATATCGCTTGAGCATCGATATCGCAATGTGAGATTATATAGTCACCTAGTTCAAAATACATAAGATCTGTTGAGTTACAGCAGAGTTTAACCATAATGGAGCAAAAGTTGATCATTTGCACATTTTAAGCCCTAAGAGAGTTTAAAGACACTTTCAGTAACCTTTATAGAAAATATTTTTTAACTATTTAAACAGTAAAATCTTAGCAGATTTTTTTCAATTTTCGAACCTAAATATGATTTGACTGGCATGATAAACCAAAAAGCACTGTTTATTTCACTTTCATGTTTGCTCTAGTGCAGGGATCACCAAACTTGGTCCTGGAGGGCCGGTGTCCTGCAGATTTTAGCTCCAACCCTAATCAAACACACCTGAACAAGCTAATCAAGGTCTTAAATATACTTGAAATTGTATGTATATTGCAATATATAATCACAGAAGTATAAAATATCACAATGTCAGATTTTTCCAATATCATGCAGGTCTACATTAAAGATTTTCTTAATTATATATACTGCAAAAATGCTTTCTTGCAAACATTTAGTCTTGTCTTGTTTCAAGTCCAAATATCTTAAAATTTTAAATCAAGAAGCATTTTTCTATAGAACTAAAAACACTGTTCCGATTTCAGAAATAACATAGCAAAATTAAGTGAGTTTTGCTTTTTATTAAAACTAGCAAAAAATTATAAACCAGACAAAGAACCAACATACCTTATTTTTGGGTAGCTGATGATTTAAAATATCAAAGGTCATTTAAATTATACTGTACAATTTCAAAATATGAAGTAAAAAAAGTATGCAGTAATAACAGCATTTCATTGGGTTCAGCTATAAGCAAAGCATGTGATCTGGTTGCATTTATTATGCATTTTGCAGAGATAATCTAAGAAGAAAATACCATCATTTCTTTTATAGAACTTAAAACCTAGAGCAGTGACAATAATCAATATAGTGACTTATCACACAACACATGGACATGACCTAAATAATTTTTGGTGATGTAATATATATAAATACATATCAATTACATTTAGGAAAAAAAATTCTAGCAACATTTTAGCTGCTTGTGCAACATCTCTATCTGTATTGGAGTTGTTAGTGTCACTACGGTTAAAATAAAACACTATATAAAACAGTATTTACTATAAGTTACTATAGAATTTTTTCATGTGTGTCTGACAACTGAAAAACAATATGGTAGATATCGCACCCTCTGTTACTTTTTACCTTGCACTTTTTTCTATTACCATTTATGGATATGTGTTTTCACATTCTGATTCCAATGCCTAATTATTAAATTGTTCAAATGAATATGAATATTGGATATTTTAATGAATATTAAAACAAATATTCTTAAGAATAAAACTTTGTGTTTTCTTTGGAAGACTGTACTTGCGCCGTGAGGGTATTTTATTGTCATAACAGCATTATATAATAGCAAAAAATCTTCTGAAAGTGGTTTTAAAATAACAATATAGTTTATTGCAATATATTTTGGTGCAATATATCATACAACAAAAATAGATTTTGTGACAATCCAACCTTACTTAACAATATTTAGGATTTTGCTCCAATATTTTGAACATCATAAGCAATATGTGTGCATGTGACATTTTTTTCAAACAGCCTACTTATTAAATTCCACCCAAAATTTGTAATAATAGACAACTATATTGAACAAATCCCAGATACATTCAGTATAGATGTTAACTCAAGCTTTAGCTTTTGAAATACAGTATAAAGTAATGGCCTAAAAATGAGCTGTATTGAAACTTGGCCAAACATATGAATATGATCTAAACAGTATTCAATGTTGAAACAAATGAATACCTATGCTGTCTGTCAGGATCAGGATCATGATGTCTCTCTCTGGGTGCATCTAATAGTCATCTTCACATGGCAATACATAAAGCAGGTCTGTATCTGCTCAGAATTCAGTGCAAGACATATGCCTTGATTAAACAGTCTGTGTACATTCATATTTTTTTTGTTTAATTTAATTTTTATGTTTAATTAATGTCCCAGTTGGGCCATTTTTTTTCTAAACAAAACAAATGTAGTTTATTATTGTCAAACATATTTTAATTTGTCAAAATAAGAATATTTTAGTTTTATAGAATTTATTTTCCAATATCTTTTTTTGTTTTTTGTTTTGTAAATGACAAGTTTAACATTGTTAAAAGCATATTTATTAATGAGACAATGATTAAAAATATTTATTTGTTGGCTTTTGGTCCAAATGGATTGAAACGTTTTTTAGACTTGAGACTGGATTTAAGACTTTTTATGGCCTTAAATTATGTTTTTGAAACTGAAGACATGTTAAGACCCCAAGGACACTATGATTATAAAGTTTTTGCTGTGCATTTGGTATTTTTTGTATTTGCTTTTTAAACCGAAAAAAAGCCTGTTTCAGCCAGTTCTGGTTTCTTCTCAGTCAAACAATGCATCCCAAATTCAATCCTTAAGAATTCTGACAAAAACAAACGCTACTTTGATATTAAACATGAGGATATACTTACACCAGAGCTCATAGTAGTAGCTACAGCACTGGGACTCTCCACAACAGTGTCCTGATTCACACACATAGCTCTTATTATTCACACCCTCACAGTGAAGTACCTGCTGAAATAAAGAAAAACAATAGATATTCACTACTTTAAAAAAATACAAACAAAAAAAAAAGAGTTTTAAATTCAGTATAGTAATCCTAGATGTGTATGTGTAAACCAATGCAGTATTTCTATTATCTACTACAGTATAGGAAAATATCAATCAATACACTGTGCATACATACACATATGTACCATGGGAGCCTAGTACACACTGCTACATACTTATGATTTGGTACAATTATATTTCCATACATATATGCCATCATCGCAACATAATTTCAACTCAGTATAAGCAAAATAATACAGTAATAAAGTATTTATTTTATTATAAAATGTCATAATTGGGTGTAATTTATGTTTTAGAGAATACTGACAAATGATTTGCATCATATAAAGCAACAGACACAATTTGTCAAATAAAACCTGAAATCAAATAAACATAACCCTGGTCCTCCTCACACTGCATATTTTGCATGTCTCTCTCACAGCTGATTCAAATGACCAGCTCGTTTAAAGAGCTCCATGCATGAACTGTTCTGACTGACTCATCCCTACATGATGTGCATGGTTCCCTAGTACCTTCTCCTTCTTTGCTCACTACCTGACCTTGAGATTACTTAATTTGACCTCGGACCAGCGTAACGTGTGACATTAGGTCTGGGCCATTTTGCCTAAAATCAAAATCTCAATTAATTGAACATTTTAACTCGATTACAATTGATAAAAAATTATTATATTGATACTTTTTTTTTTTGCTCTTACAGTTCTGTGACAAGTTATGTACTGTAAATATGCTCACATATTACAAGTAAGAGATTTCTGAATGTGCATTACTTGATTATAAAATAATTGAAGGAAACACACACATTATCTACTATCTATGGTTATTTTTTGAACATCACAGTTGAAAAAACTGAAATTAAACCACACATTGCCTAAAACCAAAAAAATATATAATGGCATTTTTTGGAAACAAAGTTAATTATTTTTAATGTTTTTCATATTAAAAGTAGAATAAAATAACTCTTGTATTTCCTGTAAATAACATTTTAAACATTGCATTTCTTACATCTTCTGTAAACAACGTAAATAATAATTTTATAGTAATGGATAATATGCCGTCTCAAGGCATCTCTGGCGCAGCTTCCAATCATTGTCAATGTAGTGCAAAGTAAGGCTCAAGAACGCGTACATCGTGCTACTTGACCAGAGATGAGATGTGGCTGCAAAGTGGCCTCAGAAGAAGAAATCAACCACAGCCTTTAACGGAGCAGGCTCACGAGACACATACAGGGAAAGTAATTGAAAAAAAAATGTCCTGGAAAAATTTGATCAATTATAGGTTCTGAATGTTGATTCCAATTACTTTTCGATTAATCGCCCAGCCCTGGACATAATATACCTCTGTAAATAAATACAATGAAAATGAACACATCACATCCTAAAATGCTGAGATACATGATATAAATTTGATGAATTGAGTAATAAATAAACACCATAGCTTTTTAGGGTCACACAGCACAATGTTTTACAATATAAAATAACTGCAAATAGAAGTATAATATCTTCAAACAAAGTATCTAATTAAACACACTTGCTCCATGTAAAACCACCACCTTGTACAGTACAAGGAACTAAGTCATCATGAATAATGAACTCAAATATATAACTCGGTCTGACCTTTACTTAACTTTTCAATATTTTCCCCTCTTTTTTTTTAGCAAATCAAGCTACACATTCCTGTTACTCTTAAGAAAGCAGATTGCAAGAAGATAAAATCAGCAGAAAGGCATCGAAAGGTAGCATAATAATTAAGCATGTTTGTTCCTTTCATGAGCCGGTTAATGATTAAGAAAGTTATGTGATCTACCATTCTCGTCTTCTGGCGCGGTTCAGACATGCTAATCCAAAGTGCTTCAGCCTTGTGAAAGTCCTTTTCAGTGTAACAGTCATGATACACAGGAATACACAGACACTTCAGTTAAACAGGGGACAGCGATTGGTCTACAGAAACATTCCAAGACACAGAGGAGTGCAAGGAGGGCTGTATTATAATGAGATGCTCCTTCAGTATTATGGGAGTAGACGCACAAAACAATGAAGAAGTAACAGAAAAATGCTTTACATTCTGTTCCCAATGCCAATCACTGCTTTGTTGTGACACTTCGCTAAATAGTAAAAATGTGTCTGATTTTCATTGCAATGTTAGTGCTTGTAAAAACATTTATATTTTAATTTGTTCAACTGAAAAAAATAATTAAAGAACAATCTCTAAAATAATATAGTTGTCAATTTATATGTTTAATAATCAAAATAACTTTAAAAGTAATTTTAACCTCTATTAAACAAACTTAAAACAGCTTGTTTTTGTAATCCAGAATCTGCATTATACAGAACAGAACATACATACATTTCTCACATTAAAGCATTAGTGTGTATGTAGCTTGTATTTCTTATGGTGAATAGGCATGGGAAGATAACCAAGGTATACCATGGTTTGGAATACCAAGGTTTAAAAAAACACCTAAGTTTTCTGTTATAATGTTCGGAATAGATTTATTTATTTTTTTTCGCAACCATTTAATTTTTTGTTTTAGGGCAACATTACATCCAGCAGAAAAGAAACCTCCACATCCAAAGATACTTGTCCAAAATACTTTAAATGTTTCTTATTATATAAAATTTATTGTGTTCAATTATTTTGGAGCAGTAATCACAATACTGTGATACCGTGAAAGTGTGATATTTATTATGATAAGGCTACCATATCGTCAGAATATTATACCGGCCCATGCCTAATGGTGATCAATATAAGATTTGATCTTGTGGGAGAATATTTTTAATAAACCACACAGAATGAAGAATTTTGAAAATGTAAATCTGCAGAACCATATAAATATTAATAACTGGCTGTATTATGTAGTCAGAATGTTCTTGTGTGTTGTTTTTCATTTTGATTCATAAACTGAAGTTTTTGGGAGTTTTAAATGCCAATTCTTGCCTTTTTGCAAAATAACAATTTTTTTATTTTTATTTTTTTACGGCAACAGGTTGGCTCAGTGGTTAGCACTGTTGCCTGACAGCAAGAAGGCCGCTGTTTGAATCCCGACTTAATCAGTTGGCATTTCTGTGTGGAGTTTGCATGTTCCCCCCGTGTTGGCATGGGTTTCCTCCAGGTGCTCTGCTTTCCCGCACAGTCCAAAGCATGTGGTATTGGAGAATTGAATAAACTAAATTGGCCGTAGTATGAGTGTGTGAATAATTGGTATGGATGTTTCCCAGTACTGTGTTGCAGCTGGAAGGGCATCCGCTGTATAAAACATGCTGGATAAGTTGGCAGTTCTTTCCGCTGTGGTGACCCCTGATGAATAAAGGACCTAAGCCGAAAGAAAATGAATGAGTATGCCCTTTACATTTTGCGGAACAAAAAAATTGAGGGCACTTGAGAGATACTTTTATAACTATTGTACTGTATACAGCCTTTTAAAATAAAAAATAAAAAACTTGATTTCGTTTCATGTTCAAGGTGTTTTGTACACATGAAGTTACTGTACTTTACAGCATTATATCACTATATGTCGTTTCTAAAAAGAGCAATCTACAAACAATCATTTTAGCATTACATCACCTATATCAGCCCTTACATTATCATTGCTCATCAATCAGTGTTAAGTTTGTTAAATATCAGTTATGATGGACTAGGTTATGAAACTGAATAAATAAACTGTGACGATACTGTTTTTATTTTTATTTTTTAAAATTAGCAACCTGTCTTTTTATTTTAACCACACATTTATTTACTTAACACACATGCATTACTGAGCATAATGACTAACCACAATAAAAGCAAGACAAGATTCAAGACCAAATTAGATGCAGAATTCCAGAAATGCCTCGGTTCTGCTGAGCAGGTCAAGTGTAGCTCATGATGACCCTGTGCCATTTCCTTCACAACATTCTTTCCAAGGACTGCAAGAGCTCTTTGAGCGCATCGTTTATCACTAACCACAAACATCAGCAATTATACACAATGTTGACAGTATGAGAACAGACACACCGTTTCTAGATATTATTAAGCAGACGGTGACCCAAAAAAAGTTATTTGAACACTTAAGCCACACAAAAATGTACAAATCACACAGCACTGACTGAACACTAAATATCAAGCCATGTGGAATCTGCAAACATATGATGCAAGACCTTTTCTCAGAAATAATTCAGCTTTTCTGACTGACCCATTTTTGCAATTACTCTCAACCAATGCTTCAAGGTCATTTTAAGTCAAAGAATAAAGTCAGTTTCTGTCAGGTTCACGCTAACAGTAACCACAAGTTTCGTTCTTTGAACAACGAAAAGGTGAATTCAATATTGGGCACTTTTTTTTAATGTAACCATACTGTATATTTGTAAAATGTTGTTTTCTAATAATTTTATTTAATTAGATTAGTTATAATCAATCTAATTATTGAAAACAATCAATATACCTACAGGATGTGTTCATCTCACACTCAATTACTAATCCATGTTCAGTGTGAAACACAACTGCCCTCATGTTTTATCAAGAGACACTAAGAGAAAGCATGTTCTTTGTATCTTTGCTGGTACAACTGAAAACAAAATCATTACTCCTGTGAAAATTCTTTCAAATATTCCCCAAGTGCTGTTTAACTGACTAAATATTTTTCTACATAATTTTGACATAATAATGGCCAGTTTCTAATTAATGTCCATTACCTTTACCATGATAACAATACATAATATTTTACTAGTTATGTTGTAAGTATTCAGCTTAAAGTGCTATTTAAAGGCTTAACTATGTAAATTTGATTTACTAAGCAAGTTTGGTTAGGCAAGTCATTGGACAACAGTATTTTGTTCTGTAGCCAATCAAAAAATAAAAGTTTGTTAATAATTACCTTAGTTTTAGAAAGAAAATAATACTGTGAACAATTCCGTCCTTTGTTAAATCATTTGGGAGATATTAGAAAAAAAGGCTACTTTGTCTTC